ACAACTCCAGAAAAGAATGAAGAATACTTTTTGTGACTTGTCGAAGTAAGAAGCATTTTTCACTTAAATTTCCTGGTTTTATCTGTCATTTAATGAAGTGGGTTTAAATTTACAAAGTTGGTTCAAAATAAAAATTCGTGGTGGCAAAAAATGTCAAAAGGTCACTGCTTGGTTAAGATTATTAGGAAATGGGAATAAATTTGGAAGTCTGAACCATTCTCTGGTTTATTTGATTTTCCTGCTGGAAATGTGTGGCAATGTCTCTTACTGTTTCAAAAAGCTGCGTTTGTCAAACTCCCAGTTACAGAGCTGGAAAAGCTAGCAACACATTGTATCCCGAGCGATGGAAATCTGATGGAATGAGCGGGTATTTTGGCACACGAGTCCCTGCCAAACAAATGATCAGAGCTAAGGCGGCTTTGATACTCTTCCAGGAAATCCTGTCATGGAAAGGAGAACTGTACCAGGCATGACAATGCTGGGAACGTAAAGTCAAAGGATGTACAGGGCTTTGGCAACAGCAACGGCACAGCAGACCTCAAGCTGAGCAGATGTGTAATATAAATATATCAAAAAATTACCATGACATTCTTGTTGCTTCACCACTATTATGAATGCATCCCGCACAGATGCTCCAGATTTCCTGAGAAGATCCCATCTAATTGCTCCAGATGTGTGTCCTAAACTTGTAGTATGAGCTAATGTAACAGCATTGTTTTCACATCATTTCTTTCTCAGCCTTAGTGGAAGGAATACTTATCCTGTAGCCAAAAGTGAATCCTCAATCTCCAACAGAAAAAAATACCCCAAATGATTCTTGACCCAAGACAGTTCTGTTTTCTAAATTATATTATAGGATCTGTGGCAGCAGGAGCTCTCCAGTCTGGCCTGCCCAAGACCGGCATAGACTGGCCACCAAACTGTCCCACACATGAAAGCATACAGGAGAAAGGTTTCATACCCACATTTACTTTCCTAGAATATCCTATACAGGTGCCTGAAAGTAGCTTAGTTTTCTTTGATAGTGGAAACTGTTATTTATTTTGCAACTGTGAATTGTAACCTTTGGCAGTGTTCTCATCACGGTAAGCAATACATAGCAATTTCATTATGATAGCAGTGGGGATTGTTTCTTTTAATGATAATATTGCAAACGTTTTTCAGCAAAGCTTATAATTTTTATCTTCTCAATGCACTGACAGGGATGATACCAGGATCAATTATACTTCACAGATCCTTTCTTGTAAAATAACTTTAAAATGTATTTAATTACATTATGTTATTAACACTATTATTTTGCTTTGAGGGCTTTCTGGGCATTATCTGACTAAAGTCCACAGACCTCCTTTTGAAGGTTGTTTTATCTTCCATAAGGGGATGGTAATAAATACTTTCGGTCTGGTTTTCTGGACAAATCTGCATGGAGGTCCTTAAAGAAGTTTTCACAAGTATTTCCCATTCCTGTTATTTGTGGCTATTCTTGCCGTCAGTCGAATACAGTTCTGTTTCCCACAGTATTTGCTAAAAGCTAAAATGTCACAGACATTAGGTAAATGCATATTTGTTGGAGTGTTCACCCTGGTGGTATTCAAGCAGTTATGCTGGTGGTACTTAGTGGATTTTTGGAAAACAGAAATAACAGCGTGTAGTGGCTCCTTGTCAGCAGCTGAAGTGCAGGATGTGGCCTCCCTATATTTAGCCTCTGCTGCTACACCCATCTGGATTAAGAAAACATCCTGGAAGCATTAATGTAGGTGATTGAGCTGCAAACAAAAGTCTGGAGAACTGCTTCATTCTTCAAAGCTTTATAATTCTTGCGGCAGGAGTAAGCGTAATTCCACACCGGTGACTCGTTTTTCAGAAAGCTACAACACTGTATGCCTTCAAATATCCCAACCACTGATGTTTACACCAAAATATTCACAATGTGACACATCTTGAAAAGTGTCCTGAAAGCTGAGTGATGCTGTGTTGAACTAATAAGTCAGAACTAGAAAGCAGAGAATATCTTCTCTTCCAAAGTGACAGCCCAGTGAAGAAAAATACTTGACAGGGAGATGTCAGTTTTTGTAAATCCTCCAATTACAGTTTGTACAATTAGGATAGTCTTAGTTTCAGCCCGGCAAAACTCATCCCCTAGCAAAACCTACACACCGCTCAGCCTGCATTCCATGGCCAAGAGACCACAATGCTTTGCTCATCTGGAGACCAAAGCAGTCCAGGCGGTGAAGGCAGAAGGACTGAATATGATGAATAGCATTTGCTCTTTTTTTTTCCTCCCTTCCCCCCAATCCCCACTTCTGTGTATTATATTTTGCCACTTTCTCCATTCAGAAGATAGGAATGTTGATGCTTTAATGAAATCAGAACCCCTTTGGATCACGCAGCGTTTGTTTGGAGGGACCCAATTTGTGCTATGGCAGCAGGAATTGCTTCTGTGTGAACAGCAAACTAACCACGCAGAGGAGCAGGACTGTACAACAATCTTGTGCCCAGTGTAACCACCTGCAGCTATCAGCCATACACTGAACGGCTGCTGAGGTTTCCAAAATTCACCTTGTGCCAGTAGTTCTATGAGGTGTGCTTGGAGCTGTCGGCACGCAAGAACAAAAGCTCACCCAAACCTGCCTAGTTATTTCTCTGACTCCTCACGTCACTGTAAAGTAACCCATTAACGGGCATCCTTACCAAAGACAACTAACATTCTTTTCCGCAAGCTTTTATGTGCTCAGTGAAGACACTAAAGACTCCGGGGATCATCAGCAGATGGGCTCTGCAGCTAAGCCCCCGATCCACGAACAAGACATACCCGGGGCACTTCGTTCTCCGCTACCCACAGCAAAGCCCACACCCCAGCCAGGACCGCACGCCCTGCGCACCGCCGCCATTTTGTGGCGGCCGCTGAACACCTCCCCTGACCCCGCCCCGCTCCGCGGCCTGTGCGCCAGGCAGGGTGAGCCGCGAGCGTGTGTGTGTGTGTGTGTGTGTGTGTGTGTGTGTGTGTGTGTGGGGGGGGGGGGGGGGCGAATTATGGCGACGGGACGGAGTGCGTGGGTGCGGGGGGTGAGACCCGGGCCTCGCGTGACGCGGGGCGGGCCGGGCAGCGGCGTGGGTTGCTGGGGCACCGGGTCGGGCGGCAGCGTGGGCGAGCCCCGTGCCCCGATCAGCGCGGCTGCACGTGCAAGTGCTGGCACTACAGCTCTACGCGCTGCGTTTTTCCCTGCTGGAAAGAGTGTGATAGCAGCCACGTGTGGCTCCGGGCTGCCGGAGGAACTCGCGGTGAGACGCTGTATCCGGGAGCTGGCGTAGCAGTGTCTGCTGAGTGAGGGAGCTGGGGACTGCGTGCGTGTACCTGTATTGGTAGCGCTGGAGTGTGCTTCCCCTGTACCCCGCACTGGAGTGCTGTGTTCACTTTTGGGCCCCTCGCTACAAGAAAGGCACGGGGACCCTGGAGCGTGTCCAGAAAAGGGCAGTGGGGCTGTGATGGTCTGGAGCACAAATACTGTGAGCAGCGCCTGAGGAGCTGAGATTGTTCAGTGTGGAGGAGGCTCGGGACAAACCTCATTGCTCTCTAACTGCCTGAAAGGAGGCTGTGGTGAGCTGGGGATAGGCCTCTTCTCGCAGGTAACAGTGATATGATGAGGGGGAAAGGCCTCAAGCTGGGCCAGGGGAGGTTCAGGTTTAGGAAAAAAACTCCAAAAGAGTGGCAGCACACTGGCACGTTCTGCTCAGCGAGGTGGTGAAGTTACTGTCCCTGGAGGTGTTCGAGAGCTGTGTGGATGTGGCACTGAGTGACATGGATAGTGGGCATGGTGGGGTGGGTTGGTGGTTGGACCGGGTGGTCTTAGTGATCTTTTCCAACCTTTGTGTTTCTATGGTAAGAGATCTGTGTAAATGAAAGCGTGAGAGCATTTATTTTTGAGATCAGAGCCATTTTTGAGAGCAGAGCCATAATTTTACTTCGGAATGAAAGCAGCAGCAGCTGTGGCTGCTCCCACTGGCTCACAGACATGCTCAGACAAGCCCAGTGCTAGCTGCAGTTAGCCAGACCCCAGAGGCTAGCAGGCAGTCTTTTGTTGTTGTTTATAATTATTTTTATATAACAATATGTGAGCAGATATCTGCCTAGAAGAACAAAGTAAATGACTTCCAACTTTAACTGACTATATTTCGATTAAAAAGCTCTCTTGATAGCCTACATAAACCATGCAAAGTTTGACAACTTTGTGGAGATGTAGGCAGAGCTGTACCATTGTATGTTTTGCTGTGATTGCACAGCATCAACACAAAGGCCTGAAAGCATTCCCTCTCTTCTGTAAACTTAGTTTTGCTAGAACTGGCCACGCCAAATGCAGTATTTACTGTGGCAGTTGCCTTCGGCTGTTTCAGTTCTTTGGAGCCTTCTCCCCTCCCAGCAACCAGCTCTTAAATTTGTGCTTGCTGTTCCCATGTTCCTCTCCTTGATATTGCTGCCTGTTGTGCTCCAAGCGTGTGCTGTGATACCAGGTGTTCCCTCACCTGCTTCATAGGTACTGCTGGGGCTGCACTCTGGTAACTGCAGCAAAGGGGTGTGAGCTTATCTTTTATCCCTCTCCACCCCTTTGCATGTTATTAAATCTCTTACATCTGAGCTATTAAAAAAAAATATGTTGCTATTGCTACAAAAGAGCATTCTAACAGGATGGTTGGATTTCTGCATTTATAAAGATCTCTCGTGTGGCAATTTGGATTCTTTGTGCTTCTAGTACAGATTCAGGTGTGGGATTGCCATTTCTGTGTGCAACAGCACCCAGTAGAGCCCTTTGCAGAGAAAATGAAAGCGGGTTGGAGATCTGATAGGGGCATTATCTTTTCTGCCACTTGGAAAGAATAGTGAGCACCTGAAAGCAGAGCTGTTCCCAGTGTGCTGCTGTACCCCACTGGAGAAGGCGGGAGGAGCTGCACAGGGCCCATGAGGTTATGGTGCTGGCTGACTGTTACATCTCTCTCCTCTTGAACAGGACCATGCCCAAGAAGGGAGGGAAGCATGCTGAGGTGGGGATGGAAATGCAGGTGCAGTCCAAACGAGCAAAGGTGGAAGCAGCTTGTTTGCCATCAGTCATGGATTTTGAGAACCCAGACAGCCTCTTCGCAAGCCTGATCTCTCCCATCAAACCAGAGGAGTTTTTCAAGGAGTACTGGGAGGAAAAGCCGCTGCTTGTTCAGAGAAACGATCCCCTACTGGCTGCTTACTACCAGTCTCTCTTCCAGCTGTCAGATCTGAAGGAGCTGTGCAGCCAAGGGCTGTACTATGGGCGTGATATAAATATCTGCAGATGTGTAAATGGAAAAAAGAAGGTTTTAAATAAAGAAGGCAGAGTGAATTACGCACAGCTGAAGAGGGACTTTGACCAGAAAAAGGCAACCATACAGTTCCATCAGCCTCAGAGGTTTAAGGTTGGGTCATTTCATGAGTTTAAGTAAAACTAATATGTGTTTTGTAATGCAGTGTGTTTTGCTTGAGGCGTGCTGGACAGAGCTTTGTCTCTGCCCCCAGAAGGTCCAGGTGGAGGAGCTGACATCAGTGGCCTGCTGAAACCATATATGAGCTATATTAATTAAAACATGGTTTATAATTTTGTGCAGTCTGTCATGCTTCAGTGCTCTGCAGCAAGAAAAACATGAGTTATGCTATAAAATTAAGTGTTCCTTTTTAAGGATTTGCTTTGTCACATAAAAATTTAAACAGATCTGAATGCGTAATGTTGATGATTATTTATCACTGTCTGCTTTAGTTTTTGTTCCATTGTTCTCATGTGCAAATAGAGCATTTATGCCAGTTCAATGGAGGGTAAGGCGTAAAATAATGTAGGTGCAGGACAGCACAGTTCTTTCTGATGAACTGGCTTTGAATTGTACCTTGGATTTGTACATCAGTTTTGGTGATTGTCCTCTCTTGTTCTTTTCCATGCTTCTCCAATCAGAAGCATTCAGAATGAGGCACTGGTGCCTGCACGGTTGTGTCAAGGACCCAGGTGCTTACGCTTGGATTTAAGTAGTTCTTTTCTGTCCTGTGGTGCCTGCAATTTAACAAAGAAGTATTCTGTAAGGACAGGAATGTACAGCTCTTTAACTCCTGAAAAGCCTGTCATTTTGGTGCCTTCATTTTGCCTAGCTAAAGCTAGCAGATGAATTAAAACCTATTAGAGGGTTTTGTGGTGGTGTGGTGGTGTTTGTAACGGCTGCCACTGTTTGCGCAGATGAGTGATGAGTGGTAATGTGGGGAAGGTGAAGTCTTATCAGCATTCTTCAGCATCTGTTATGATGTACTTCACCAGCTTTGTGCTTTGAAGGTTTTTAGAAGCATCTCTTGACATGCATCTGTTAAATTTTAATGTACATCTTCAGTTGTGGAGGAGCAAAGCAGTTCTAACAGATTGAAAGATACCAAAGGTTCTTGCTTTGAGCATCTCTAAAACTGGCTTACTCCACACACAAATAACCTGATACATATGCTGCAATATATCTAAGGCATATAAAAAAAACACGTCAGAGATGTTTGATCTCCTTCATTGTGTAACTGCAAAGTGCTACAGTTGGAGTCACCGCAAAAAGCTCTCTAATCTTTGTGTACTCTTTGGTAGTAGCTAGTATAATGAAAATCATGCATATGTTTCTTTTATTAAGATGTTCATGGGAGGTGGTAGGTGAATTTCCATCTGTGCCTAACCCTGTCCATCCTTCCCAGCCTCAGTGTCCCAGTTGGTTCTTCCCTAGAAGAACCCCTGAGTAGCCAGGGAGCATGAGAGCTGGGTAGTGGCCAGGCTGGCTGAGCTCTCCAGCAGTAACATGTCCTTTTCTTTTTGCAGGAGGAGCTGTGGAAGATTCAAGAGAAGCTGGAGTGCTACTTTGGGTCTCTGGTTGGATCAAATGTCTATATTACTCCACAGGGGTCCCAGGGCCTTCCCCCTCACTACGATGATGTTGAGGTAGGGCAGCACAACATTGTCTGTGGGAATAGGCATGGGGTTTTGCTGGTCTCTCTGTGTGGTTTTTCTTCCCTTCTCTCATAAAGTAATTTCTTACAGAAAAATGTTTTTCCACTGATAAGTTACAATGTTTCTTTATGGTTGTTTTTCCCCCCTCTTTACTTTTACTGAATGGGTACTGAGGTGTCTAATGGCAGTATCACACAGAGTATGCTTCTAAAAGAAGCATTCCAACAGCCAGCGTGTTAAAAAAGCAGTTCTTCAAGTTGGGCTGCAGTACCAGTTTTTTTTCCACATTAAACACGTGCATTTCATTCTTCTTTAGCAGCTCTAGAACTTGCAGATTCTGACATATCACACAGAATCACAGAATCACTCAGGTTGGAAAAGGCCTTAAAGATCATCAAGTCTAACAACAACCTAACCATACCACCCTAACTCTAACAACCTTCGGCTAAATCATGTCTTTTAAGTTAGTTGTCTAATGCTTTTTGAAGTAATTTGGGAAAAATGGGGATTTCCAAGTGCCTGCTTTAGGTAGGATAAAGCAGGTCTTACTTCCTAAGTTTTCTTTCTGCTGTCTCTAAGTGAGGCCTAGAAAAATACTTTGGATGTAAATTTCTGCATTATAGACATGCACAAATTCCTCAGGAGAGGAATCCTGCTCCCTGGGCTGTGAGGTAGCTGGGAGCAGGGCAGGTGAAATATGTCTCTTCTGTTGTCAGAGAAGCGCCCTGCGTCATCGTGTTTGCTTCCTGGCTCTGGTTTCTGGCATGGTTCCACAGACATCCCGAGTAAGACGGTGCATTAACACTTCTGATGAGTTGAATGCGTGGTAGGAAGCAAGGCTTCATTGTGCACTTGGATTTATGGTCCTTTGCAGGTGTTCATCCTCCAGCTGGAAGGCGAGAAGCATTGGCGGCTCTATAAACCAACGGTGCACTTAGCTCGGGAGTATAACGTGGAATCTGAAGATAGGATTGGGAATCCCACGCATGAGTTTGTGTTAAAGGTATTAGAATTGAACTTCTTTAACTGGGCTGAACTGTAGGTGTGAGAAAAGTAGTTATATTTAAAATGATTCTTCTCTAGAAGACAGTATCCTGAATTCTTGCAGTTGCAAAATTGTGGGGAAGGATTGGTGCACAAAATACTATGAGCATGAGAAATGTCATAGTTGTCTGAGTTATCTTTTTTCAAAGGCATTGGTTGCTTTAGGATTTAAATAATGGACCAAGAAGCAGTTCTTTCTGGAAATTCTCTAATACTTCTTTAGTTACGAGGCAGAGTACTGGGTACATGTTTGTAGATTTCCCTGTAGAAAATACATTGGTTTTAATCACAGTTATGAAGTGTTTTGTGCTGCTGCATGCTGTCTGTGATCAGTCAGGCTGGTCCCTTTGTGCACTGTTCTGGTGAATATATGGCATATGTAATACCTGACTGATCAACAAAAGCAGAAACTAAAAAAACTGTCTTGACTTGTATTGTTTTTCTCTTTTTCCAAACCTGAAAACCAGATGCTTGTCTGTGTCTTGTTATTTGGAATAAAAAGAGCGTTTAATGAGGGCTAATGAATACAGCCTTTCTGATGGCAGGAGATGTGGTGCTTGGCCTGTTGTGGTTTACGTAGTTGTACTTCAGAAGGGGGTTACTTACCCAGCAGGCAGTGCTGCTCTGTTTCAGAAGCCTCTGTAGTTTCTCTGCCTCTTGTCTTATGAACAGGGCCTGTGTGGGCAAGGTCCTTCCTCTTCCCTGTGTTCTGACTTACCTGTGCAAGCAGGTATGTGTAGGAACAGCGTTCTGCGTTGTAATGGTGCTGACCTTTACTGGCTGTGCAATCTGACAGTGATTTTCAGTTGTCAGAAAGTATTGCTTGATACAAAGCCTAATGAATTACAGTTATTCCTTTTTTTTTCTTTCCACAACATGTTGGGCCGGATTTTTATGGAATAACGTTGCATTCCACAGGCCATTTACTGATGTCAGTGCAGTGAAAGTACTGGGCTCTGGCCCTGAAAAGGCCTTAAAAATGTTCCAGGTTTGCTGTTCGCTTCCTGTGCCCCTTTTCTTTTGAGTCATCTCTGTTAGATTTTGGTTGTCTGTGTGACACTTTCTGCCAAGGATGTACAGACCAGTATTTCTTCCCTAAACCTTTCAGTAGAATATTTCCCTTCTCCTTTCTTGCACTTCTGCCTGCCGTTCGCGGGCAGTTTGGAACAAACGGACCAGTTGGAGATGTACTTCAGATGTCTCTCTGAGTAGCTGGGTGTGCATGGGAGTGTGCTGGTTTGTGCCTCAAGTCCCAGAGTGCAGCTGGTCTTGGTGAGCATTCAGCAGGCTGTGGACACGGCTGGCTTCTTACTGATGTCAGGCACAGAGCTGGTTGGCCGTTGGCCATCCCTCAAGTGGTTTCCTGTTTTACTCTGCTGATATCCCCTCCTGTGTCTGCCCCTCCTTTATCCAGTTCAGAAGTAAGAACAAGCTGAAGTGCTCAGAACCTCGTTGTGTCTCTTGGGAGCTGCTCTGTCCCGTCCTCCTCTGCCTGTTGCAACCCAGAGTGCTTGTTCTACTTGATGAATGTTTTGCTTGCTGGTTCATTGCTTCGTGCTGATGAGATTACCAAGGAGATGAGATGAGTAGGAGTCACACTTTGCAGTGAAGACTGCTGTGAGCGACGGTGATCTCTGCTTCTTTTGATGGGACCACATTTAAGGAAGAGTAAAATTAAAATGGAATCCGATTTCACCATTGCTGCTTCATGACTTTTCTCCTTGACTGTGCTGTGCAGCTCTGTAGATGTTTGTAGGGGAAACTGTAGGTAACCTCTTTATTGGATGTGATGTGGCCTGCTGCACACTTCTCTCTTACATTGACTGCCTAGTCTAAAGTGTATCTGCCTGGGGATTTAATTTAGGTAAGTGAGAAGAAAGGGAGGAGGGGAGAGGTTGTACTTGATATTTTTAAGTGCTACAGCTGAGAATTTAAGACAGCAGTACTGCAGCAGCTTATGGTCCATGCAGGATATTTGTCCTTTCTTGTGGAACAGCAGCTTTCTACTTTGTTGAGGTCTGCTCTGCTAGCTTGCTGTACTTTCAGCAGGTTCCTCTCAGCTGCTGCTCTGTCCCTGTTATGCAGCTGAGTAGGATTGTGTGTGCTTTCTACCCTTCAAGGCTTGCTTTGTGTTTTCAGGCAGGTGTACAGTAAATACTAACAGTAAATTGGGGAGTTCGGACTTTCTGGCATAGAGCACTCTGTTATTAAAATGTAAGTGGAGTATTTCCCTATTTTGTGATTAAAGAAACAGAACCAATCCATGTTGTCTGTCTGTCTGCTTAGAGAGCATTTTCTTTGTTTGGGTAACAGTGCAGTAAGGTTTGAACATGTGCCCTAAATGTATCAATTCTTTTTCCTTTTTTTTGCAGCCGGGCGACTTACTGTACTTCCCAAGAGGGACAATTCACCAAGCTGACACACCTCCTGGTGTATCTCATTCTACACACGTGACCATCAGTACCTACCAAAACAAGTAATTCCTCCTTACTCTTTCTTGTTTCTGTCACTTCTGAAAATGGCTTTCATCTTCCAGGCAATGTGTGTGAATAGTACGGACCTGAAGCCCGCGTTTCGAAGAAGTGATGTCTTACAGTTAAAATACAGCCTTGTGATGAACTCTGCTGAGCTCTTTTCTGTGTTTGTCCCATTCAGTCCTTGTATCTTTTGTTTGTCTGTGAGGTGATGCAGGGATAGGGCATAGAAACACAGTGGAATGGAATATGTGAGGTGCCCTACTGTCACCTACGTACCCTGCTGTTAATGACAAGATCTAGGCCAGCATTCAGGTAGCTGTAATTTCAGTTGCGGAGGTTGGGGAAAACAGAGGAGGGAAACACTTCCTTGTAAACAAAGCTTTTTATTCAGCAACCTCATTGGCATATTAATTGTCTACTTTATTGTTTATCATCAATAGGCATTAATGTGGAAGGTAACACTACAACAGGAAGCTCACTGTCAGGTTTAGAACTCTCAGCAGTGGCTACAATTGCTATTTGTTTCATAATCCAGAGAGAGAGTCGGGGATTGCGCCTTTCATCTCCTCCTCTCTTGCATTTCATAGTCACCCACACTGTACTGGTGAACTTGCTGCACATTCTTTCTTTGCTTGTGTTTTCTGCTTATCTGTGCTTTTCATCTCCTATCCCATGCAAGCAAGGCAGATTTCCTTTGACGTGCATCCAATGCTTGTGCCCACTGAAACCTTTTCATTGCACAGGGAAATGCTGCTGCAACTCAGTCAGCTGCTCTCATGTGCTGGGTTTGGAGCCATTGGCCTGAGTTGGGAATCAGGAAGGATTTCTGTTACAGTATAGGACAGAACAAGTTTTGGCATGTTCTAGATGATTCTAAGATGCATTTCTAACCAGGTGTACCATTCTGTAAGGCTGGGATGTCAGTGCTGCTGGTAACTCTTAACTTGGGCAGTTCTCCACACTGGAGCAAGGTTAAGGTGAAGCTGTGTGAGTTCATCATCAAAAATGGGTTCTATGGCTTTTAACTTATAATCTTCTGCTGAGAAGGCAAAAGATTATTTTCTGTAAGTGCTGATGGCTGCTGCAGAGTGTTTGAATTCATTTATTCTCTAGGTGGCAGTGTTAGCACTGAGCTGCTTTGGCTGTGTTTGGGGGCACAACTGAGCTGAAGTCCTGTTCCACCTCCCATTCCCTGTCCTTTTTTTGTACACCACCCTCCTGTTGGCCTGGAGCTTTTCTCATCCTCAGTGCAGCAAACTGAACAGAGAGGAGGGTGACACCAGGAGAAGCGTGCTTTGATGTACTGATGGAAGTGGGTTTGCTGTATTGGTGTGCAGGAGTGGTCCTAGGTGTGCAGGGCAGGTTTTGTCCGGTGTGATCAATGCTGAGTTGTTGTGTGTCAGGTAGTGTTGGACAGACAAGTTCTTTATTACAATGTTGCTGGAGACCTGACAGCCTTATGTGTGGAAAGGGCAGTTCCTCAGTACTTCCTCAGCACTTCCAGTGCTGGCGAAATGGCACCTTGAGGAATTTCGGGCTCTGAGCCCAAAGGGCCTGCACTGTGCACTGGGGTGAGGTTTCTCCAGGCCAGACCTCCGCCTGAGGCAGGAAGACAAGTCTGGTGGCATTTGTTGTAAGCAGGGCAGTTTGTCACAGTAATGGGCTCCTGAAGATAGTTGCTGATGTGGGAATTGGGTGGAAGAGGAGGGAAGCAGTAAGAAATGCAAGATGTCTCACTGCTCTTTGAAGGTGAGGTAGGGAGAGACCACAGGTAGACAGGACAGCATTTTTTTGCATGAGGGGCGCACCTGGTCCTGGTGAGATTGACTCAGGCTGCAGGACGAAGATGCAGGTGGGAACCCTCCCTCCTCTGACTTACCTCAGCTGGGGAATGGAAACATGGAGAGCAAAAGATAGCTTTTTGGAATGTATTCAGCCATTGAATGGGGATCTAACACACACAGAAGACCCCTCTCTACAAGGTGACTGTTAGGTATCTAAGTATCTTAAAAATCCCTGTAGAGATATACTAGGGTCTTCTTCCTGTGATCATAAGTTTGTAGCAAAGCTAAAAATGCATCTGTGCTGAAGTTGATAGCCCTGGACACGTTTCTTGCAGCAATGGAAGTGCTTCAAAAGAATGTTAAGTGATACTATCCAACACACAATAAAGTATGCCTGTTTTACTTCAGTGCAGCCATTTCAGTAAGTCTTATTGTTTCTTCCCATCCTGCAGCTCCTGGGGAGACTTCTTATTGGATGCAATTCCTGGCCTTGTATTCAATACTGCAAAAGAGGATGTGGCCTTGAGGACAAGCATCCCAAGGAGACTGCTTATGGTAAGAGGGTCTGAGGGAAAAACAGTGCATCCAGCTGGAACTTCAGCGCAGTGGCAAGCGTGGGTCTTGCTGATCTGCTCTGAGAACTCAGTGTAAAGGCACTGTCTTGTCTAGCAGCTTTTGCAGACTTCATGGTGGCTGGAGGTTTGATGCAGCTGAAGTGTTGTCCAGTTTGCTGCGCTTCCTTTCTTCAGTATCACAGTGGCCTTGTGTGGCTCACTTCTTCTCAAAGGATGCTTTTTGGTTTGGAGCTGTCAGGTAGGCATAGTTTCCACCAGGTCTAACTTTTGAAAAGTTAATGGAGCTGTCTGTTGCAGCGTGTGTCCTTATGGTAGTTGGTTGTGCTGCTGATCAGCTCATCAGCATGAAGAAGGAACAGTTCTCTCCTTCAGGTACACTTGCAGGCCCTTCAGCATTGTGGGCATCCCCACAGTGAGGAAAACTTAGCTTCAGCTTTGATGTGTGAGCAGTTTATGTGGAACATGTAAAAGAAACAGTATTGTTGTTTTGGGAGAAAGTAATTGTTACCCTTTGGTGGTCCTCTCCTATCTTTCCAGATCGTTACTTCATTACTGTGCTTCTTTTTCTTCAGAATAGTCTCTGTGTAGCTGGAATTCATGTAAAAGGAACTGTGTGTGCATATTTAGCAGGTGGATATGGCAGACTCAACAAAAAAACTGAGTAGCATTCTGAGAATGCTTGCAGACCGTCTGGAGAACAGCAGAGAGCTGAGATCATCTGACATGAGGAAGGATTTCATTATGAACCGTTTGCCACCTTGCTTGGGATGTGATGCTGACTCTTTAACTCCAGGTGAGTTTTGAGCTCAATACCAACTCCTTTTGCTGATGTGATGGCAGGGCTGTTGCTAACTCTGCCCTTAATGATTATGGTGTTTTAAGGTAGGCAAAGATTGCAGTTTAGTGTGAGCTTTGTATTTGAGACAGACGGTGAGAACATAACAAATAATGTAGGTACAAGAGAATGGCTGGGAGAGCAGGGCACAGAAGGGTCAGTTTGCAGTATTTATATGGTTTCCTTCCTTTCTGATTTCTTTTTTAGGTGGAAAACTGCCAAGATTAGACAGCAAAATCAAACTGCAGTTCAGGGATCATGCTGTAATTACAGTGGAGCCAGATCAAGCAAATTCTGTAAGTATAACCCCTGCACCACCCTTCTGTGCTTCATGCTGTGGGCGTATTGCATGCATGAGAGTTCTTGGTCTGTCTCAAAGGGTTGTGCAGATGTGGATCGGTTGGGTGCTGCATCCTCTTAGGATTTGGTAGGAGATAATGATGAGATTGTTGTCAAACAGCACTGTGCCACCTTCTTGCCTTCCTGGGGAAACCTACAGAACTAAATGTAGTCCATGTTCTGCACAGCAGGTGCATGGTTTTTATCTAAGGTCAGATGGGGCAGATCATTACAATGTAACTGTTCTCTCCTGCTGTCTCTTAGGATGAAATTCGCAAGGAAATGGTGTATGTCTATCATTCCTTAAAGAACAGGAGAGAAACTCACATGATGGGGACAGATGATGATGATACTGCTAGCGAAGAAGGTGCAGCACAGGTTTGTTCCTGACCTACGCACACAAAAGCTACATTGCCATGCTGGGTTTTGCTGAACATTTGTTATCTGTGCCTTGAATTATGCTCTGGGTGACAGAGCTATTGGCATGTACCAAAGCATCTCTTACTTTTGTGTCCTTCAGTACATCCTACTGGATACAGTGACATATGTGCAGCAGGGGGAGGGGTCACTGTACCTTCTGCTGGTCAGTGTGTACATCCTAGTTTGATCTGGCTACATTCAGTATCCCCTGGGATGCACAGCAGCTACACCCTCTCAGCTGTTACAGCAAGGAATTCTGCCTGGTAGTTACTTAATTTTTGAAGTGTATTTTGCTGGACCTGTTGAGAAAACTGGTAGCTGAGGTCTTACACAGGCACTTGCACAACATGCTGCACAACCCAGAATGTATCTTCCTGCCCTTAATGTCTCCAGCCATGGTAAGATACCCCCTTCAACAACCCATGGGTAGGGAAAGGCTTCTTCAGTTGGGATGACACACACCTTAGGTCTCCCTGCCTCAGTAAGGGGTGCTGGAACATGTAGGTGTACCCTTCATGGTAGAAGATATTTCAACTGTATTTCCATTTATTAAGAAAATGGCCAGAGTGATGCTGATCTCCTGCAGGATGCAATTGGAAATCCCCATGTGAAGTGGGGAAGGAATGCTGCTGGTCAGCACCTACGTCCTGCCCTCCTGTCTGTTAGAACAAACACGCTGCTCAAGTGGCCTCTTTTCCCCATTTTTTCCCCCTCTCAGCCAACTCCTCATGGACTGCGCTTTCCTCTGTCACACCTGGATGCACTGAAGCAGATTTGGAGTGGCAGCACTGTCTGCGTGAAGGAGCTCAAACTTACCTCAGCTGAAGAGAAGGAAAACCTGGCCTTGGCACTGTGGACTGAATGTCTAATAGAAGTTTTTTGATGCTTTCGTGAATTAGCTCCTTATGGAATCTCTTAAGTGAAAGGTTCATTCAATTAATTTTATTTTTTGCATCCTACCTTAGTTTGTACTGCCAACGGTGTGTTGCAATATAAATATACTTTGCTACTGCCTGTTGCTGAATGTCCTTCTAGTTCCCTTATGCCATGGGTAAGTGGGTGTCTCAGCAACAGGTGAGCTGCTCAGAAATGTAACAGTGGAACAGCTTATCTTGCCTTTAATTGCCAGATTAGTGCTACTCCTAGAAAAAGGATCTTCACATCTCTCAAGTGGATTCTGATGGGAGTGTTGCAGATATTTGGATAGTCTAAGATCTGTATTTAATGAGCAGCCCCACACAGCATCGTGTCTTACTGAATATATGTACTTATTTCCTTGTTTAGGCCATTTGAAAAAAAAAATTCTTTACAGGAACGTACTTGGTATCTGCTAACAAAGAAGAAACAGACAAGCAAAAAATTCCTTCTAAAAACTTTTATACAGTTAAAATATACATGCTTGGCATTTTGCGTGGAAGATCTCTGAAGTACAAAAGCCTGATTTATTTGGTTATGAAGCACTGGGACCCCACCCCACGTGATTTAGGTGCTTTCAGCCTGAAAGACCAGAACCTTCCAACCAGGTTTTGAAATTGCATATGGCAAGTGAGTCACTTGGAGAACACTTGATATACTGATTTACATTAAAAAAGCAGGACAAGTGCTTTAGTTGTAGAAATATATACATACATCGGGAGTTCCGTAACAGCAGATTTGTGATAACTTTAGAATGCAAAATAGTAAGTGCAAGTACACAGGTATTTCTTTATTTTTAAATAGTATGCTATAGAACTCAATTTCATACAAAAATAGACATCCATATATTTTATTTCTGAGAGTTATGTGTTTCCATTTAAGGTCAAATCCTGTTTAAGTGCACAGGAACACTTTTTGCTTTTGGAAACTAAAATTCCTTAGCTAAACTCCTTAAATAGAAACACACACCCTGCATAAACAAATAGGAAAGAAAATATTATCTATTCAATGAAGTAATTCATTTAGTCACGCAGAAATCCAATGAAGCTAGCAGTGAGCTAAGGACCACCACTTCAGGTAGTAGCAGCCCTACAGGTGGCTGCTGTTCCTCCTCTGTATCAGTCCTGTATGAGGAAGATGTTCTTTTCCAAGCCTGTACCAACTGCAGTGCAGTAAGGTACTGTGCTCTGCCCGTCTTAAGAGAGGGCTGGTAGGATGGTTGCATCTTGCTGACATTGAAGAAACTGCCAGCAAGTTGGGCTGGTCATCACTGATCTAACACCTCCTCCTTTGGGCTAAGAGGACACTGATGAGCCTGAGTAACCTTTAAAAGCCACTGTGCTGTTCCTGACATGAAGCAGGGCTGGCTGCTAGCACCTGGTGAGTTATCTTCTGAAGGAAGACATGGATTTAAGATCAAATTACATTGTATTAAATTAGTCTATATACATGACAACAAAATACAGCTAGAGCAAAATCATTACTGCTCCAAATTCTGTAAATCTTTTAGAAATCTAACCTGACCCAGGATAGCTTATACTCTGGATAGATGCACCTATGCCTACATGTTAAAGGTGATCTTCAGGGATCACTCAGAAATTCACAGGTTGGAAACAGCCCCTGGGTCTGCAAAAGAACTTCCTAAACTTGGAAATTAGGTATTGCTGAAACAAACAAGACCAGGGCCTACCTGTAACAATAGGGAGGTAACAGGGTTTTATTGCCCCATTTCATGCACTGAGCTGGGAATTCCAGTTCAAATTTGTCTTTGAACAAAATAAATTGCACTTTAGCAGGAGGTATGGATTGAGATTCAGTTTCGCTTTGAGCCTCAACTGTTTCTCTTGGTCTAAAGAAGTCCAACTCAACCTCTTTGAAGCTCATGAGGGCACCTGCTGAAGAATGAGCTTTCATCATTTTCTGAGAGAAAGGAAATGTCAGTATTTCTAAAGAGCCTTTCCCATATTATCCCTTGCAGTTCATATCCCACAAAGCATCTGTCTAGCCTTGTGCATTTACTTTAAGACTTCAGATGAAGAATAACATTAACTTTCATAAGAGGCCTCCAAAGAATCAGCTTATAGTTCAGTCCCTGGGAAAGACATGAGCTCTTCCTCACATCCTTCAGGTCTGTGCAAATTCACTTGGCTTAGGAGTGGTGCTTTGAATGAAGGAAGACAGAGGATTTACTGCATAAGGTTCCAGTGGTGCATGACTTCAGTAGTACTTTTTTTTCCTCCAGGTGCTGATAAACCACGTAAGGTTCATCTCTGTGGTGGGTTTTACTCACAGTATTTCAATGTCCCATTTTTGCGAATGTTTGTCCTCTTCTGGCTCATTCATAATGATGTGATTCTTGTCATAGTAATTTCCTCCTTAAAAATAAAGCAAACTCATGAGGGCAAACAATTTGAAAGCAAATGCTGAGAATCTCAACAGAATCTTTTAAAAGTGCCACGAAGTAGGAAAATTATCTTAGAGAAATTCTGTCAGAGATGAGGCAGTGTTTGCACTTCTACTGCTGTTTGTCTCCTTCAAACTCATTTGTCAGCTGAAGCCCTGAGGAGCTCTGTTAGTTCAGAAGCAGAGTCCCCAGTGCAGCTTTGTGCACAGAGGCACGATTGCTAAAGGCATTTTGCTTCCACAGAGCCTCTGCTCCCACTGTGTGGGTGGATTTTTAACTTACGTATTGCTACAGTGCAAACACACAACGTCAGATCTGGGGGATTATTTAGTGTTGAATACTCACTTCAACCCCAGAATTACTAAGTCCTTATAATTTGTTTCCTTAGAATACATGTAGCATAGAAGTAATGGTGCCTTCTTATGCCATTAATAAAAGTTCACTGAAGGAAATTTGTGCTCTAAAGAACAATCAGATGGTATGCCTCACTCTCAGGGTAGAATCACAGAAAGGGCTGGGTTGAAAAGGACCACAGTGATCACCTAGTTTCAACCCCCCTGCTATGTGCAGGGTCGCCAACCAGCAGACCAGGCTGCCCAGAGCCACATCCAGCCTGGCCTTGAATGCCTCCAGGGATGGGGCATCCACAGCCTCCTTGGGCAACCTGTTCCAGTGTGTCACCACCCTCTGTGCAAAAAGTTCCTCCTAATATCTAACCTAAGGCTCCCTGTCTCAGTTTAAGACTATTCCCCCTTGTCCTGTCACTGTCCACCCTTGTAAACAGCCATTCCCCCTTCTGTTCATAAGCTCCTTTCAAATACTGGAATACCACAATGAGGTCTCGCCGGAGCCGCCTCTTTCCCTAGCTAAACAAGCCCAGTTCCTTCAATACATCCCTGCAGCACAGCTTTCTGATGCTGTAGGAGCTGCCATCATAGGTGGTACTGCCATCGTTGGTCAGCAGGACTAGGACTTAAGCAACAAGAATTTTAACAAGTCTGAAAACATGACAGGTATTTCTCTTACTGAGGCACATCTATTCTCTGGTTTGCTTTTCCCTCCCTTTTTTGTCTTCCAAGAGCCATTTCTTGCTCTAAGCACTACTTATAAACCTCTGGGATCAAAGAGTAAGGTTCTCCACAGACTTTCTTGTGCCATTGTTGGCAAGACTGTTTCTTGTGCAGTTGAATATTAAACTTGTGAGAGAGAGGGGATTCAGTACTTAGGTACAAATGAGCAGGAATACTGCAATTAGAACATATGAGTGGCTTTGTGGTTTTTTGTTTTGTTTTTTTTTTTTGTTCTGCTTTGTCTGTTTTTTAAATACCTTTAATATCAAGCACCAGTTGGTCACTGAGGTATGAACTGATGGTTCCATCCTCATTGAGTCTCCACTTCTGCCTCTCCTTCCCATGTTCTACCCAGAGTGCGACTTTGGCCCCTGGCACATCTCTGCCACCAATGACATCCAGACAGGCATCGTTAACCTAAGAAGCAAGAAGACAGGTGAGATCCAACCAGCACAGAGCCTTGCTTTTGTGTCCGACTTGTTTCTGTTTCAGGCACTGATAGTACTGCAGTAACCATAGTGGCAATTAAGCTAGGAGCAGATTATTCAGCAGTTGACTGATAGCTTGATCACAGAAGGTCTTCATGTATTCCCTTTCAGAGAAATTCCTAATTCTTCAAAGCTAATAAAACTTTCAGAAAAGTGAGACTTTCAAGAAAACCAGGTTCCTTCTTTCAGGAAGAAATCTAACCTTATCTCACGGATGTGAAAAGCTGTCCATCCAGCTTGCCAAAGCAGACAGAGCAAATCTGTCCATACACAGTAGGAACATGTGGCCTATGGGAGCTTTGGCTCAAGACGCACAGGAAAGGCCAAAAGCGATCCTGGTATTAATGAGGAAATCTACACAGTGAGTTGTGTTCTTGAGGAAGTCCAGTGAAAGTAACACACTCCAGCACCTGGAAACACACCTTGGATTTGAAGAGCCCACGACAGTAGTGCCAGATCTGGGTATCCTTGCCGCTGTACGGAGACACGCACACTGATGTTGCTCTTACATCTGCCAGACTCCCAGCTACTGTCAGGTATTTGCCTTGGGCTCGGTTCCTGATTCGGAGGTACACTGCTGGCTGAAATGATGGCAAGGGGGAGTCATATCACACAGACTGCAAAAGTTGATGGGAGAATGTCTCCATCTTACATCAGTTTTCTAAACTGCTGCATTCCCAGTTCTAAATGATCACCATAAATACTATTATTTTTAGTTGAAGTGAACGTGCACGTAAGACAGAACTAAATGTTTCTCACACAGACAGCTGTAAGCAGCAGTGGCAGAGAGGGTATACTTTAATGTATTTATAGAACTAATCCCTGTGATATGCAAATGGCTTTAGTTCACATTTCTTTCACTCCAAGGCCAGTAAATGGGCTATAATCCACAAGCTTTTCATTTTCTGAATACAGAACTTGCTGAGTTGCATATTCAGCAAGTTCAACACTACTAACTGGAATATGTAGCACAGAAGTTTGACCTTTGCTCTTGAACATGCATAGAAAATGGTACTCAGCTGGCATCACTGCTTACACAGCTTACTCAAAAAATAAGGCTGCTCGGTATGGCTACTACAGGGTTTCAGTTTTTCCTCCATTATTCACTGATTTTGGAGCAAATAAAGGAAAGTGAACAACTGAAGGGCAGCTCCCTCCAGGTACCAGTTTTGAACCTCCTTTTTTCCATAATAAAGCAAACCCTATGTTAAGAGACAATAAAGCCTCTCTCCTACCAAGCATCCATGAACAAATTTGTATCAATAAATATACTGTATAGTTGTTCTTTACAAGGAAGAGAACTTAAAAAGGTACAACTATTGTGTCTTATCTTGAATCATGTGAGTTTCAAGCATTCAGATTTCTCTTGCACTACCTATAGCACCAGCAGACTTGACACAGAAGGGAGGAGGAAATGTAAAGTGGTGCAGGTTTGTAGAATTATCCCAGTCTTAAAAAAATACCCATATGCCACAGAAGCGTTGGGCACAATGGGCCGACTGCACAAACTCGAGGAAGCTTTCAGTCTGCAGGATTTAAAACAAAAGCAAGCTCCACATGCCCAAATCCCCAGCAAAATACACAAGGTGCTACTTAGAATGTTACTCACTGTTGCAATATACAAAGGGACGCTACCAAACACAAAAGCTCTTTGTATTTGTGGCTGAAGAGAGAATTCTGTTTTTAAGATTGGCACATATTATTTGCATTATTATTTGTAAAAACAGTGCCAAAGTGGGATCTTTTGCTGGCTACCTCTTTCACAGAACTCACGGGAATTGTAAGCTTCCTAGACTAATAAATCATTAAAAAAAAATAAATTCCCTTTTCCAGTGGGGAAGCATATAATGCCAAACTATTGCTAAACATGATCATGCTGTTCACTGCAACATATCCTCAGTTGAATCTGTTATTTAAAAATAAAGCAGCATTTGTCACTGAGTGTAGACAAGCTATTCTCTGAGCAGCAGAACTAATGAAAACTCTTGCAGTGAAGTTACTGCTCACATTCCCTCCTCGTCTCCCTGCCCTCCTCCCTTCTCCCAGGACGTTGCCCTCCCACAGATGCGTGTGGCTGGGCTCACACACAGTGGAGCTCACCTGTGTTACTACCTGATGCAACTTAGAAAGGCAGAGGGGCAGAACGTGACACTGACATTACTTGGGGTGAGGTAGGCAGAGAAAATCTGGTGGCACAGCATAAACTTTGCTTCTTTTGGAAGTCCAGGCTATAGCACGGAACAACTTGTCCTCACTTCCATTTGTGTTAATTGCAAAACAAGTCAATACAGAATTGGTTTTCTCATTTCTATATGGCAAATGTAAAAATAGAGCATCTAGAGAACATGCTAATGCTTGGCTCCGAGAAGCAAGGAATTATTTCCCTTTAGGAGCCTAATATAGATCTCAGTAACTGCCAGTGGAAGAATTTTCTGCTTCAGTAACCTCTCCGTATGTCCTTCTGGCTGTCATCATCTGGCCTGATTGAAGAAGCGCTATGTGCAGCATTATATTTGGTTAGTTTACACTAAACTCAGTCTAAAACAAATTGTCCTCACAGACTCTTACAGTACCTGCTTCACCGGACGAAGGGAGCCAACTACTTTCCAGCCACTGTACTCATTCCAGTTGGAAATCTCACCGGGCTCCAAGAGAATCTGCTTTCCTAAAAAATTACATCCTTCGTATGCAATCCACCTGGATACAGAAAGCAGAACACAGAAGGCTGCATGTTAACTAAATTGCGGGTTTATGTTCAGGACTGTGCTCTTCAAAGGCCCCAGTCCTCCCCAGTGCAGGGACACCATCAAAGCTGTATTACTCTGCTCCAGGACAGCACTCATTCTTGCGGTTTGTTTTGTCTAAATTAAGATGCTTTCTCCTAGCTCAAACTTAGAAGTTCCCCCCAAGCTTCTCCCACAAATTTGAGAATCTCTGCATGAACCCAGATGGGAATAATGCTGGCTGCAGTGAGTGTGCATTAGGAAATTAGGAAGCCACGGGCTGTGTTTTCTTTTTTAACAGTTAGAGCTATTCCAAATATAGAATACAAAAATACATAACAAATATTTACTTCAAGCACCATAAATTGCTGTAACAGACTTTACTGCAGTGAATATATCTGAATGTGAACATGGCTGAAACCTTTAACACAGAGTTCAAGGACCAGTACATACAGATCCCTTGTTATCTAGACATCTGCTCAGTAGCTGCTGTGTTGCTGCTTACAAAGGCAGCCTCAGGATCACAGATCAGCTTTGTTTCAATCAATAGGACATTGTTGTACAGACAGTGAACCTAAATGTTTGACTCATTAACTCATCCAAACACAAAGCAAATACTGGTTTCCCCAGTTACCTGTTTTACAAAGTCAGCTGCCAAGAACAAGAGGGATGGCTGCACACTTTGCTTCAAGTCAGCAAGAAAATATCCACAAGCAGTGCTTACAGCACGTGTCGTGCACTTTTCCCATTCTGAATGTCTGGGGGAGCAGACAGTCAGCCTTGCTTGGAAGGAACTCCAATGCAGCTGAAATGGTCCAACAGTGTCGTGCCCCTTAGTGAGGTTATATCACTGCTTTTTCAAATAATGTGTATTGGATCAGCACTGACAATCACTGCAGGTTCTTTATACTTACAACCCATTTCTGTCTTTTGTCTTGTGATGCTTTCTGTGAAGCCACTGAAAATCTGCTTTTAATGGTTTTCCTGGAATACTGAGCAGTCTCATATGAAATTGGCTTATGTTGCCAAAGCATATGCTTATGCTGGCACATATCTGGTGACACAGACAAAATTCATCAGGGGTTTCATGCAGATAGCAGCCGCCACACCATGCCACCTTTCCCAGACCCTGGAGCCCTTCACCAAAGCACACCCCAGACTTGTGCTTTCTCTCACTGAGGTGGCACGACAGCAAGAAGCCATCACATATACATAAATCTTACTCTATCATTTGTCTAAGGCTCACAGCAGGCTTTGGGACAAGGAGCCCCAAACCCCTCTAAATCCATCTTCACGAACTTACAGGCAGTACTCTACATCTCACAGACTTCCTGCAATCCCATCACACCCTTAGTCTCTCAGCTGTAATGAAGGATGAGGATAGGATGTGGAGTTCTACTTCCTGGAGAGCATCACAGGGAGCTCAGAGGAAGTCCAGACAGGCAAGTGATTATTCTGCCCCAACTCTCTGCAGGCTGCAAAGCTCAGAAATTAATTGGAAGATGGGGAAAGGACTGGAACATTGCACATACTTTCATGAACTTTTTAACCATGTCCCAAAGCCCTCAGCCTTCCTTAACAACCAACTCCATGAACAACGCCATTAATTTCCATTTCTGCACATCTGTTGAGAAGGAAGGGACAGCTTATACAAAGATTCCCACATAAGGTACCCTATAGATTGTAACACCTCTACACAAGTATTTCTCAACTGAAATAAGTCAGGTGTTACTCCCAGTGACAGCCTTTCCTCCTCTAAACCAGCACCCAGGAATGTGTATGTGTTGTTCTCAGTCTTGCACTGTAGCTGCTTGCCATCATGGAGAGCCTCAAGTCACCTCATGGCGTCATGGGAGTTGACTTCTTCTCCTACCTAATAGTGACAGGACAAGAGCAAATGGCCTCAGGTTGTGCCAGGGAGGTTTGGGCTGGATATTAGGAAACATTTCTTCTGAGTGGTGAGGCAGTGGCACAGGCTGCCCAGGGAGCTGATGGAGTCACCATCCCTGGAGGTATTCACAAAATGTCTGGGTGAGGCACTGAGGGAGGTGGGGATAGGATGGGGGTTGGACTGAGTGCTGTAAAAGGCCTTTTGCAACCTTAGTGACAGTACAATTCAAAAGCAACAACAGCAGATGATCGCTCTGGGAGCATGAGCTGGATTAGGCTCAAGCTCTGTACCAATCTCTAAGTATCAGACAAGTGCTCAAGCAGTCTTATCACAGATATCTGTAGAAGAGTTTTTACTTTAGGTGGCACCAAATTTGATCCATTTGAGAAATTCATCATAAAAATCGCAACAGAGGTGTACATAAGCAGTAAACAGTCCACGTTAGTTTCCTGCCTAAGTTTCCTGCCAAGTAGTTAAATGTGGCACTGTTTTGGTTTTTTTTTTGTATCCAGTAAGACCTCTGAAGAAAACTACAGCCTTGCGTATGCGAATGCCATGAGAGAGGTGGGAAAAGGGTTAAAAATGCACAGAGGAAATGTGTGTCATATTTGAAGGACAGTGCTTTCCAGTCAGCCTCAGTTACAAGACCCACCAAGTTCTCTATTCCTGTTGTTGAAATGCAGCCCTGAAACTCGGCTGGACAGAGCGGCTGGGAGCTTCTCCAGAAGGTGAAAGGGAGAGATGGGAAAGAGGTTGGAAGATAATTTCTGCAGACTTACAATGGGTTTCACGGAAGAGCCTGGGTGTTTATTCCCAGTCGCAGGGGGGTTAAACAAACAGCAGAAGCAAATTACTGCTCCAGCTGTCCCATCCGCCCGGAGCTGCTCTCACAAGTCACTGCCTCTGTGGCAGCTGAGCAGCATGCCAAGCTCCACTGAGCCACTGCAGTGGCTCACAATAAATCACTGCACTTTGCAGCTGGTATTTTACAGCCCGTTAACAAAGGCAGTTCAAGTTTGCTCTACCTGTGAGTCAGGAATTTACTGATTTACTTTTGGCTCCTGGTTTGAACAACAGGCTCTACTATTTGTTAATGCATGGGGATAAAGGGGTGGTTCTTTCAGGGACAAAATGCATCCTCTGCCCAGAGGTCTCGTGCATTTTGAAACTTGGTACAAAAGGTGGACCTAGCATTCAACATTTTAGGATTTTGAAACGTCTCAAAAGTTAGAATCTAAAACGCATCCTATGAAAAAAGGCAGCAGTTGTTAGGAAACACGCTTAGTATTAGCTCCCCCAAATAACAAGGATATTTCTCCCATACTTACAGTCCACTTCTCACCCATACAGACTGAGTGTAAAAATGAAGGTCTTCATTCAGAACGGAGTTGACAGGCTCACTGAAGTGCAGCTCTCTGCCCTTGCAGCACTCCAGTGCAAACAGACTGAGGGAGGGCTCAGCGAAAACCTGGTGAGGGGGGGGAAAAAGCAGTGTATTACTCAGAGCAGTCCAACTTCATGATGCACATGTTTTACCACTTCAGTTTCATTTCCACTTGCCTGGGGGTTAGATCGGGCTCCCTCAGCGAATATAGAAGCAAAGAAAGAAAAAGTGCATCTCCCAACAAAACACATGTGCCTGAAACATACTGGCACTGTCGTGGAATTATATTCTCCACTGACATAAGGCAGAAAATGAGCCACTGAGAGATGCAGAGAGGCCTTTGTTTGCATTTGAAAAATCTCCTTATGATCTGGTCAGTATCATCAGGCCCTTGGTTGCTTTTCAAAAATCCTGTTTATTTACAGCTGGAACAGGTTACAGCAGTTCTCAGGGTGATCTGCAGATTGCTATGAAAGCAGTGAGGCAAATCACAAGACTGTTGTGTGCTGACTGCCATTAGCTATTTGATGGTTTGTTCACTGGAATAATCTTAGGGATCTGAAAACTGAAAAATGTGAAAAGCAACAGACCTAAAAAGTTTTCCATGTTTTACAGACATTCCTATTTTTCTTCTGACAACCTTGAAAAAATTAACATTATTAGTAGAGACATCAATCTCATACAGAATTGCAGCACTCTTCACTTATGCCTTTCTCTACAGCAGAGAGACTTTCTTATGAAGTAAATAAGATCACCTTGCATAACTGTGCTACAGCTGCAAGATCAGGAGAAAAACAAGGGGAAACTCATTTAAACATAACAAGTCTGTGTCTTAGAATCACAGAACACCAGGTTTGGAAAAGATCCCCAAGATCATCTAGTCCAACCATCCATCTATCACCAATACTTCCCCACTAAACCATGTCCAAACATTTCCTGAACACCTCCACAGACGGTGACTCCACCACCTCCCTGGGCAGCCTGTGCCTCTGCCTCACCACGCTTTCAGAAAAGAAATTTTTCCTAACATCCAACCTGAACCTCCCCAGCCCAACTTGAGGCCATTCTTTCTTGTCCTACTACTGTTACCTGAGAGAAGAGGCCAACTCCCACCTCACCACAACCTCCTTGCAGGCAGTTCTAGGGAGCTATAAGGTCTCCCCCGAGCCTCCTCTTCTCCAGACTGAGCAATCCCAGCTCCCTCAGCCGGTCCCCATAAGACTTGTGCTCCAGATCCCTCACAGCTTCACTGCCCTTCCCTGGACACACTCCATGTCTTTTTCTGTAGTGAGGGGCCCAAAACTGAACACAGTACTTCAGGTGCGGCCTCACCAGAGCTGACAATCACTTCCCTGCTCCTGTTGGCAACTTACACGAGTCAGGATGCCATTGGAGTTCTTGGATACATGGGCAGAGGCACTGCTGGTTCATGTTTAGCCATGTATCTCCATACAAGGAATACTTAATGTTTTTTCAGCTTTTTAAACTTGAAATCATAAGCATTTTTTTGCAATTTTTATCCTGATTTATTTGATAAAGGAAGACAGAGTAGGTCTGACTGCTACAACCAGCAGACTTTTTCTTCGGAGACGTCACACTGTGATAGCCAGCTCACTGCAGCAGGCAGAATTTCTTCTGTAACGAAGGTATTGCCTCAGGTGAAATGAATGAAAAAATATTGAATTATACTTTATAATTAAGAGAACATAACTTTCATGTTTGAAGAGGCACGTGCATCTGAGTGAAGTATCTTAAGAGCTTAGCTGTGCTTCAGCTCTTACAAACTTACTGGCTCTGACTCAGTGCACTTGGTATGTAGGTGGTTGTTTGATTGTCCAAATCACAGAATTGTAGGGGTTGGAAGGGACCTCCAGAGATCATCAAGATCATCGACTTACAGCAGGTCGCACAGGTAGGCATCCAGGCAGCTCTTGAACATCTCCAGAGAAGGAGACTCCACCACCTCCCTGATCCTGCCTCAGAGAAATTGCTTTCCTCCACTGACTACTGCAGAGACAATGTGAGTCATGCTACTCTTCATGGACAGGGCACTGGATGGATAATTTTAAAGAAGGATCATTCACCTGGCAAGATTTTTTTTTAATAAAAAAGTTACACTCCTACAAAACGAATGCTACGTGCAAAGCGGGAAGAGATTAAAACTCATCACTGTCTTCATTTTGGAATGTCTGTTCTTCCCATCTGCCTTCTGGTGGATGAGGTGTGTTTATAGCTTACTTTGCAATCTAGAACAAGAGATTGAGTGCAGGTAGCTACTTCTCAGGTTGCTTTGCTGAGCAAGACATTGCTATCACACTCCAGCTTGCAGAAAGCCAACTCCCTTGGCACTGGCTTTCACCTAAGTGGAAAAGCCACATGCAGAATTGGTTCAAAAGGGAGAGTTTTCACAAATGCATCAGAAGGCATAGGAAGCATCAGATGGCATCCTTGTTGTTAGACACTGCTACCAAAGCCTATAGGTACTTCGGTTTTGCAATATCCAATATATTAAGGACAGGGATGCTGTGCTGGTCAGAAAAGTCAAGTGATCGAGCATTATCCATTTATAAATTGTCCAAACAGCAAATGGGTTGAGTCCATTAAAATGACTGTACATGGCTGAGATAACTTGAACTTTAATGGCCATGTGAAAACCAGCAAGTTTTTCAGAGTCCCAGTCTGTCAATATGCAGCAGATGTTGCACCTGAGACACACTGGGAACTGATCACAAGTGTGATGCCACTCTGTCCAATGAGAGCTAGAAGGATTTCACTGACCTTGGCGCAGACGTGAAGTCCAGAAACAGAAAACACGCTGCTGTCTCAAGCACTGAAGCTGTCATGTTTCCATAACCATATATAGAGCAATGCTCTGGTTACTCACTTTATATATGCTTTTTTACACCATCAGCTGGCAGCAGTGACTTGGCCTGGCTTTTCTCTCTCATTTTGTTTTCTTAGCTCCATAGAAACCACCAACAGTAAAAAAAAAAACAACAAAAAAACCCAAGGTTTTGAGGCTATGCTACTACACTTTTCACAGAGACGTTTTGTTTGTTGCCCTTCTTTGAAGGATGCTGAGGTGCTTTTTAACTCATTTTCAGGCTGAAGAGCCATCAGTGATAGGTGAGAGTGTGAGACTGCGAGGACCAGCTTACTCCACTAAGGACAAATCCTGATGGACCAGAGAAGAATGGGGCTCTCTGAGGGCCAGAGGAAAGGCAGCTGGAGACAACAAAAAGACAACAAGATACAAGAGAAGACAAACAGCCAATCTAAGTTTAGGACATTATTTTAAGTGGACCCCACTCCCAAATTTTGAAAGATGAGATAAAGGCATCTACATTAACCCACCACTGGCAAGTCATTCCCAAGGCTAGGTTACATTAGCTTCTTTTCACAGTTATTTCAGAGAAAATATCTGAAATGCTACTCTCTGGTGAAGGGTTGCCAACTGCAAGAATGACAATGCACTAAAGAATTCATTTAAACTGATCTTGTGTATTAAGGAATTAACTGCCTTGCTTAAACCAACACCAATAAAGTTTTGAAGGTTTAGTTTCTGCTGTTTTTAATGTCAATATCAATGAGGAAGAAACTCGAAAAGATTTAATACATTTAAGAGGCCAGTGATGAAGGAAGGCTATATTTACATAGTGTTTTCAAGGTACAAGCACCCCTACAAACTGTTAAATACAATGATATTCTTTACTTAGCAGGTGTGGCACTCTATGGTTAATATATCCCATAATGCAAGGAAGGAAAATGAGAAAGCCTTCCTCCCTCCCCACATTGTGAGGCTGAAAAGTTAAGCCATGGAGATCGACACAAAAAAGGTCTCTCGCGCATCTCAGGTTGGCTCAGCTCAGCCTTTCCTCTTTGACTTTCACCTTCACTCGATGGAAAGAAGCTGCGCACCATAAATTTTTCACAGTTCAGAACAGGATTTTGTTCATTTTGAACAGGATTTTGAACATTTTCAGTTCAGAAAATATGCGAAGCAGGTTGGAAGCATTAAAGATCAATGCAGGGCGAGCTTCCTTTCAAAAGCCTTTTCTTTGCATTGTAAGGCTTGGGTGCCTGATTCAAGGAGACAAAATAGTGTAGAGATACAAAGAAAGTAACCAAAAGTGCTACAACTGAAACCCAAGTGCATGTGGGAATTTGCACACATTTCCTTATAATAAAGATAGATAATTTTCACTATGAATTTTGTCAAAAATTATTACTAATCATCCCACTGAGAAAGATTTACCAACATAACATATTTTTTCATACATCTTTTTTGGCAAACTTAGATTTGGCAAACTCAAATGAGAAAACCCAATAAAGCCAAATAAATCCACAGGGTTGCAAAAAAAGCATGGCTGCAAACTCATCACGGTCCCTGCTGACCTGCAGCTATGCAAACGGCCTTTGCCAGAGTCTCACTGGAGAAGCTTCAATAGCTGCATTACAGAATCCTTGGAAAAAATCTCTGTTTTTTAGTCTCGAGTCATTTATTATTTACCACTGTTTTTGCTGAAGTCGTGCTCTGCTGGCTAATCCCTGCAGTGTGGGAAGGATGCCTGGCTAAGGGAAACGAGACTGCTCTGGAAGACAGCAACACCCACAGTCCGGCCCCAGCTGCACCAGATGACTCATGGCCTGGCCCTAGGAAATACTGATTACTTTTTGTATCTGATTTGGTTATTTACCTCACGGGAATGCTGGGAAGATTAGTTCACACCTGTATTTATCTTGAAGATAAGCAATATGGAAATATTGGAAATATCATGATTAATCAGAGGAAGAATAAAGAACCTCAGAAGAAAAGAAGAAAAAAAAAGCATCGTATGGCCCTACAACCCAGACATTTCTGTTTTTAGCAAATGAATTTAGAATTTTGACAAGCTCTGGGATTGGTTTAACTTTAAGGATGAAGTTAATGTTTTAGAAGGAAAAGTAATTGCTTGCTGCAACAATCTTGGATACAGTTATCCTGGTAATGGCACATTATGTATCATGGGGAGTCTAACAAAATAATGTGTCTGCAACTAAAGGTGAGCCTCATTTCCCCTCCTAAGAACATCTTATAAGGATCTCCATCACCAAAACTCTTTGAGAAACAAACAATGTCCCAGTAAGCAACCACAGCCCTATAAAGGCCCCAGCTGACTTCATGTGCTCTCTTGCCTTTGGGCACGTGGTCCCTGCTTTCCTTTTCCCAAATTCATGGCAGCACATCAGGCCAGTCCATGCTGACACCAGCATGAAAACCCACGCCTCTGCTGCAAATGCAGCAACTCTTAACCTGTGTTATGTTCTTATCTACCTGCACAGTGGGCATCAACAATAATTTCAGCAAATTTCATCAGTGAGCATCTCTTTAACAAGGTTACAGACTTTTAGATAAAAGGAGACAATGAGAAGCAAGCTGCACGAGCTCCAGTGTTCCTACTGCTATGAAACAGACATGTATCCTACCAATCTAACTAGGTTTTCAACATAACTGCCTGTTCACTTCAGGAAATTAATTACTAAAAGATACATTTTCCAGCAATTTTTTCTCCACTTAGCAGAAAATTAAAAAGACTCTTTGCACTTTGAGAAGCAGCCCTATTCAGAAGAGAAGTGGCTATGTAAGATATCATTATTTACCTTAAAATCTAGATTAACACACAGGTACTGCAATACTCTTTTTCTTCCCAGAACGTTGAAAACAAAGGATATTATTTTCTTATTATTGTGCTACAGAAATGCTTTCTTCCTTCTGCATAACTTCTTCGTAACCCATAGCTTTTCCAAAAAAATGGTTGAAATTGTTCTCAAAAGCATGCGTAATTCCTACATGATGCTAGTGCATAAATGGGCAAATAACCAAAGCGGTATCATGACAATCTGAATTTCATGAGAAGTGGAGGAGAAGGAGTGCACGTGTGGAAGGGCTGGGGGCAGCACGCCATGTTTAAATGATAAGAACTCCATTTTTCAGTGACGAACCCATAAAGACATCTCCCAGGAGCTAGAAGTCAACCATTCTAAAACAGTAAGAAATTAGACTGTCACCAGTCTGAGCCTGTTTTCCTATTCAAACCCATTTCGTGTTGCTATGAAAGGGTTGTTTTTGTTGTTTCTTTTCTTTCCTTTTTTTAATTGGGTCAGCCCAATGATTTCAAATGACACTTTTTTGATTTGTTAGGAAATTCAGCTTTTAAACACACAACATTGCTGGCAATTTTCAAAATAAAAACAAAAAATTTTAATTTTCTAAGAATGTGTGTATACATTTTTTCATTTAGAAATGTTTGCTATAATTGCAAATATTCTGCTTGCATCAAAACTGCATTATTCTGAGAACAAAATTTTCTCAGGTCCTTTCCTTTTCTTCAAGGAATTGGCTAACCTATTAAAAAAAATAAAAATCAGCCAAGGAATTGCAGAAGTTACTGCCTGGTTCATACAGACCAAGGCTCTACTGTTACCTCACACAGTCCCAAAAATACCACTGATATCTCACAGTATTTTTCCACCAGGCCAGAAAAGAGCACCAATGTGATGAAAGAGTACTACAAACAACTAATTTCAAACCTCAGTTGGTGTCCCTGCAGGTGTTACTGACCTATGCTCACTGCTCTGTTTCACAGCTACTTTGTAATTAGCTTCACACACACACACACAGACAAGGTACATTCAGTGCTTGATGTCAGGGTTCCACATTCTCCCCTATATGCATGAGCTACCAAGTTCATAGAATCATAGATTCATGCTCTAGGACTGAAAATGGGCTGGTATTTAAACATGAACAATGGATGTATTTCCCAAATGTCTCAGCAGAATTCAATAACGCTATACAACAATTCCACTTTGGAAAACATTTACTGCTCTCTTGAATGAGCTAACAGAAATACCTTGTAATAAAAAGGGCTCTGTACCAACAATAGTGCATGGCAGACAATGCACAGAATGAACTATGGCTGTTTCTGACCGCTGACCAAACCTACTGCTGCGTGCTTAACATCACGTCTGTGCTAAACAATGCCTCTGCACATTGTCCTGCGTGATTAACACAGTGTGTTAGGGGGGTCAGTGAGTGCATTTCTCTTTGTAAAGCAGGTGTGGTTCAACAGCATTTTACAGTATTAAATGCCATCACTTTGAGGAACACAAGGTCTCCTATTTGCAAGAAAGGAACTGAACCAGAGGTGCAAACCACATACAAAGCACAGGAAGATGTGCATAAGCTTTCCATGCAGAGCTTACTAAACACACTTCTTTCAGAGTTTGGCCCTTGGTATTCAAGGGCTGCCAGTAGCTTATTACTATGCCAGATTGGGGAATTTGGATGAGATCTATCATTTCATGTCAAAACTTCGTTCTGACTTAGCAGAGCAGAACACAAAAGCCTAACGTGCAAGGAAGATGTTCAATCTGAAAACTAGGCTCTCTGTGAAAAGCTACAGTTCCACTGAATTCAATGCAGCTAGTCCTGCGTAACCTAGCAAAAGGACCAGCTCTCAGACTTGAGCTGTAGATCCTTCCCATCCCATGAGTAGCTTTTGGTGTTCTTTTAAAACCTGTTCACAAACAGAAAGAAAAGAACTTTGAAGAAAAGTTTGAATTGAGTAGTCTTTACGATCTAGTTTCACTGTTAGTAAAGGACACATGCTGCATGGGTTGAATTTGTCCTCTTTGAACAGGGCAGGAGGAAGACTTTTGGAGAAGCTGGTCAGTGCTAGAAAGGAGTGGGCAGAGCAAGCACATGCTTCTCCTTTACTGACAGCATTATGGACAATTTATGTTTTATGCTTTTTCATAGGAGCATACACAGATATCAGACAGAAGCACAGACATTATGAGAGTCCAGAGGCATGAATTCTGTGTTCCGAATTACAGCAAGATCCAGAAAAACTGTATTTGTCTTGTAGTGGATAATTCAAAACATTCCTGTCCAATTTCATGGCCCTAGAGGATCCTGAATCTCACTTACTGATATAATAAGTCATCTGACTTCAAGATCTGCGCTTGGGCAGTACAATCAACATGAAAGTCATAGAAAGATGTCCATGTGTAATAATTACTCGTCCCATATATCAGGAGTCACTAGGGAAGAGGATGGCCAGAACTGAGCTTTGAGTTGAATTATCTGACGTGTCATACACAGCCCATATTGCCATGTTTAGCATATTATATCACTTTATTTATTGACTCAGAATTTGAGATGCCATTAGAATGCAAAAACCTTTTTAGCACTTCTGCAAAATGGTAAATTAAAAAGCATAATGGCAAGTCTGTGCTACCATGTAATTTCAATTTTGTGTATACTTTAAGACTGAGTCTTGGCAGTAGGCCTAATATAAGAAACCCCATATGCTTAGACAGCACAACAAAAAGCAACATCTTGCTGTGTACCAAATTGCTGAGCTGTATCATAAATGCCAGTTAGAAAAACATCAAACAATGCAACTCCTACAAAAAAGAGTAACCTTCAGCCCAGAATATACAAGCATACAAGAGCGTGTGCCTACATGCAGCCTGACTTTTTCCAAGCCTCAAAATCCCATAATCCAAAAGAACAAACTTTACTCTTTTCCCTCAGTGGGAGTTTGTTTAACGCGAGCATTCACTTCAGACATGTGACTAATAAAAGAGTTCTAAAGCATTATTTTTTTCAATGAAGTCCTTACGTATTCAATAGGCTTGAGGGATTTGATTGCAGCAGTTGGGCAGCCACAGGAAGGGAGATCAATGTAAAGGCCTTCTTCCAGCACACAATGATTGTCATCAATTTCCCCTTGGTAATACAGGAGCCAACTGCAAGAATAGAGTAGCAAAAAAGATTAGCAGCTCAAGTTGCTTATTAATAGTAAGGTTTTTCAAGAGTTAGTATTTGTTAAGGAAGCGAAGGATAAAAAAATAATCTGTTTGCTTTTGTTAAGCTTGTGTTTTTGTAAGGCTAAAATGTCTTGAATGGCTGTGTGACAAAGCACCCAAAACATAAAAATCAAATCATGTGATATAGAAATTTCAGTCCTGGAATCAATAGACACTAATGGAAGGCAGATACCTCTCCTGCACATAACTCTTAAAATCTGGAATAAATTCTAACGGGAGTTAAAAAAAAGAAAAGAAGTCACAGTAACTGTGAGCTTCCCTTCCCACAGGGAAAACAAAAGGTATGCTACCCAAATCAACAGCAGGGCAACGCTTACTGAGCTACATTGCAAGACAAAGTCTAAGATGTGATGGACTATGATCAGTGTGTTATGCTGATGATCTGAAATTTAGTAGCATTAGGGAAAAAAAAATAATTACTTAAAATGGCGGCATGTAAAACAACACTTACCAACCCCGAAGAACCTTAAAAGAACATGGTATGAATGATGTGAAATCAGAAACTTCTGCTGTGAAATCTATACATGCTCCTTGGAAATGTGTATTACTGAAAGCTTTGAGCTACAAGAACAAAACAAAATAAAGCCAATGACTAAAAGGGAAACAAACTCATTGCCATTAATGTTAGCAGAGATAGTTGTGGTCTAAGACATATCCATTCAATTCACAAAGATACAATAAATAGAATGAATTCTCAGTTAAGGAGTCTTTTATAGCTGCTTTCTTTTCTAGAAAGATTGTGTTTTATCATGTCTGGACCGTGTCTAGGAAGTTGATGTTAATATCACTATTACAGTCATGTTAATGTAGTGGTAACAAGTGTAAGTTCAAATGCAACAGAAGAGGGCCCAGAGAACAGAGAAGGCTAGGACTGAAGGATGTTATCTTCTACCTGAAATACTCCTGAAGTGTGGCTAACTGTTGGTATAGCTCAGTAATCCAGGTTTCAAAACTGGAGGAGAAGGCATTAACTAAAAGATACAAGGCTACTGTTAAAAAAATGCCTTGAAATATTCTGTTCCCTGAGTGACTGCAGGAAGTTTTTCCTTCAAAAACCAGCAGGGGAATTTCTGGGGGCCAAGCTGGTGCAGCTTGGTAGATGTAGCATGGCTACATTAACTTCTTTTAAAGTTCAGCTGAGATGGTTTTGCACATCATGGTGAAGAACTTCAAGACACATTTAACTATATTCCAGCAATAAGATGTGCTCAGTTCACTCTGAAAAGTAACAAGGTTGAAAGCACTGCAGTTAAAAAGAAAGAAAGGAGAGAAAAAAAAAGTGAGAAAAAAAAACCAAACAGTAGTACGACATAGCCTATGCTCATTGTCAAGTCACTTAGAATTCCGTGCTCCTAGGCTGGTATAGTATAATGGAGATGATTTTCACTTTAAAGCCTGAAAGAGAGGCTGGATAAGAATATAAAATTTTACTTTATCAAAAGAACAGCTCATATTTTGTAATGGAAGAAAAATACTATGGCTGTTGCAAGCAGGACTTCCCTATCATGTCCCAAATTGGCCTAGCTTCCTGCCAAAGAAAAGAAATCAATTGCTCTTGCCAGTACAGAGAGAGCAGGCCAAACATAAGCATTAGCAAATGATTTTCTGGAAAAACTCAGACTGCATTTTTAAAGAAATGAATGCATTTCCTGCTGGAAAGAACAAGAAAAGCTTAACCTGGCCTTTGAGAAAACACATCAATTAAAATACGAAGGATAAGGCGTAATTAATTTTTCTATAAATATAATTGCAATGCTATGTTCCAGAGCATCTGTTTAAGCTGTAATTATGTACTCTTTTCTATGCACTTAAAAAAAACTTCATAGAAGTATATACACCATTGTTCTTTCATAGGCCATACACTATGCAACACTTTCAAAAAAAGGTTTGTAACTCACTTTTATATGGCATGTGTCTAAGAATGAATAATGGTCTTCATCTCACTAAAGCTAGGATGAAGTATCAATTCGTCAATGAAAAAAACTGCGTATTTGTTATTACTCTTAAACTTCAGCTAATGATGCTTTATTGGGTTCTGACATTATCAGGTTCCACTTCCTATGAAGTCAACAGACAGAATACTGAAAATACACACAAGTTATCACAGCAGTTCTCTCTGCTACCTACATTATCTGTGCAAGCCAACTGCTAATGAAAAAGGCTTTGTTCTTGCTGGACAAAACAAAGTTTCCTTTTAATAAATAAAATGAATCACTTAGAAGCAGCCATTTCAGTCATTCTTGCACCACATGCACTTTGTTAGTGATCCTGGCAGAAGTAGAGGATCAGGGCAGTTACTGAAAAGATTAACTTTTTTTTTTTTTTTTTTTTTTCTGAAGAGCAACTAAAAAAGTGGAAAAAGACACTCTTCTAGACAGCAAACAGTACACTTTGCTCTGATCTACATGTATTAATGGTGGGAGAATGGATACAGAATCATTCAAAATAACTGGTGTATGGCTTATAGAAGGCAATACTTAAGTACTTGCCAACTCATATGCACCATGTATTTTCCAAACTACAAGACTGTTGCACATATGGAAACATTTCTTTACCTTGAATGGGAAAATGTTCATATTTAATTGAATACTACTCTTTACTCATTCTAAGTGATTAAATATTTCCCTACGAAGACTTACTGAAAATATTTCCCTTCCTAAAAGGACTGTAATGACGCAAGTTACATTCTTCCTTACTTTTAAGATGGAATCCTATAATAACCAGGATTGTGAGAAGTCAGGATAGTGTTTTTTAAAAACAAAACGAAGAATTTTATTAGACAACACAACAGGCAAAACAGTCTCATATAGATCAGTAATTTCAGGTGTGTGTGTGTGTATATGTGGCCGTTCCGAAAGCAATGCCTCCTATTTTATTATGTTGGCCCACAATGTCAGAGGCAAATGTTGGTGGTATGGCAGTAGTGAATGTGAGCAGACAGAGGTGGTGGGTGCTATGTTTCAGTAATGGCAACAAGCCATGTTCCAGAAAGTCATGCAGATTTCTATAAGCGTGGCATGCAGGCTCCTGTGAACTGCTGGTGAAAGTGCACAGCTACTGGTAGTGACTATGCTGAAAAAGTAGTGTTTTGTAGCTGAGAATTTGATCTATCAAGTAGTGTTATTGTGCTCTTTGTATCTGTTCTAGAAAATAAATAGGAGGCATTACTTTCAGAGTATCCTACGTCATACACAAAGATTTTTAAAATTGTTGCATATATCACTGCAAAATTAAAGACTGTAAACAAAATGTATTGAAATTTCAAAGGTTTGCATTGATCTTAAGGATCTGGAAAACCAGAGTGAAACAATGAAAGAATTTTTCCTGGGAGAGAAATGCTGAAAAAGTAGAAGAGCTGAAGAACGACAAATATATTACATTTATCTTCAGTTTTCAGGATCCCATCAGATTCATCACAGCCAGTTATTTTACCTAGTATCATTTACCAAGGCTTAGAGTGAATGAACTTGCAAATCTTTGGCCTCCAACTGCCATATAAGTAGGTCTGGCAGGAAATCAGTGTTTAAGGCTAAAATAATACACCAATTATATCTTCAGAGAAGAAACATTTACTGCAGTCCTGGGGTAATCATAAAATTGTTGAACAAGAGAACATAGAGAAAAAGAAGGGTGTGGTCAACCTGCTAAGTAACACAAGGTATGCATTTCCCACATGCTTATGGCTATGATAGCCATCAAGGAAGAGAGAATAAAATTATTTCCAGATGACAAAATACTTAATGTTTTCTGAAACACAGCCATTGAGCTCTAGATTTCCTTTCCTTTGGAAAATATCAAGTTTTCCAAAATACATTTTTCCAAATTTCCTTGCTTAAAAGCATGTAACAGAGAAAGCAATATAACCACTCAGATCACCACCCATGCTAGCAGCCCACTGCAGGACAGAAAAGGATAAATAAAACCGAAACTGCCAGAAATGAGAAGAGCCCTGCTTGGGCAGAACCTTGTGGGAGACAGAGACTATGCCTGGTGATAAATACAAACATTCAGAGCAGTTCTTAAATCGCTCCAAAGGTATGTTAATGGAATTAAGATAAAGACCAGAAGTGCAAATCCTCAAAATTACAGCTTCTTAAAATTAAAGTGCATTATCAGCAAGGTAGATGTAACTGTTTGAATGTGTCACAGAAGAAATACATCTTGTATTTGTTATAATCATGAAATTCCAGCTTTCCTTTCAATAGACCTACAAGTTTGAAGCGTGCAGTTCAATTTTCTGCAGTTTATACTTCATTATTCTTCAGCTCATACATAAGACAACATAGCAACAAACCAGATAGAATGCAAAATAATGGAAAGAACACATGCCACAAAGAGAAGGACAAATATATGTGATATCAAGTTTCAAGGAAAAAAAAAAAAGGAAAGAATAGGAAAATAGTTGGCCAGAAAGATCCAAATTTACCCAAGTCTACTGTACTGCTTTCAATTTTTAGGGACAGAATACTAAAAGGTGTGAACTAGAATAAAACTAAGAGCTGAACATTGGCAAACATAGCCTTTACACATCTACCAGCTTCCTCAAGTTATTCTTTAATGTACAGAGATCACAATACTGAGATATTCATCTGAAGAAATGAAGCGAGAAATTCAGCTTTACCTGTGTTTAATTATTAAATGTGGTTTAGTACTAGAGACTGTTACACAATATCAACATACCAAATGTGGAGGCTCATTCGTTCCAAGTGGTTCCTGCAATAATAAATATATATACAAGCGTATGAACAAATAAATGAATAATACAATAAATAATAACAACGAAATGAATTACAATTAGTTTCCAAGAAGGCATGTGAAGTTCCTGAAATTTCTAAACTACAAATTCAAGAGCAGAGATGCACACAGTTCCCACGTTCTTGGCAAAATTCTCTTTTAGCAACCTCTGCCACCAGATGCCTATAAGCTCATTATAGGTGCCTGATCGTTCAGTCCTTTTCTCCACAGAGAAATTGCATCTTTAGTTCATGTAACTAATTAGTTCATGTAACGTGGAGTAAAGTCAATGTAAATCTATTCGGATTTAAGTATATTTATTGAAAAAATATAAAATTCAGAGCAATATTGGGACTTTTTTTTTTCCCCCCAAAAATATGCTCTTCAAAATAAGGCTTAATGTTTGTACCTTTCCAGTTTTCAGTGCAATAGTATCATTTATTATATACTTACTACTGAGAATTTGCTTTGCTTTCCATTAGGATGATAATCTATTTGGTCAGGTTACTACCTTGGATTTAAAAATGGATAAAAACTATTTTCTGTTTTTATTCACCATACGCCTCACAAATATTTCAGTACGAAAATATAAAAAAAACCCCACAGCCACATAACATGGGCTAGAAAATTGAAACACAAATGCTCAAGAATTTATCAATCAGGCAAAATCAATGTTTCCAGGCCAGGTTATTGTTCCGTGAACGCAGCCTGACATAGGGAAGTTCTTACTAAGTTTCCCCATCAATTTTATCATTAAAGAAAGAAAGATCCAAAGTGTCCATTTCAGAGAGACAAGGTTCAGCCTCTACATTGTACAGAGTTACGGTATGTCATCCGCAAGAGCCTTTAACTTGTTTCAAATAAAGCAGACAAATTGATAACAAAACTATTACAGAACTGCATATTATAAAACCATTGTAAGACTTCGAACTCAAAAGTCTGCTTTCTTTTAAGTTTTTCCCTTAACAATCTCCAGTAACTCACCAACTTAATAGGTCGAATTGACATAATGATTTTACTGGATCCTCCCCAGTCAAAGAAACACTTATATTTTCCTTTCTCCAGTACATACTGTTCTCCACAGAAATATTTCTGTTGATAAGCAACCCACCTGAAGAATGGCAGAAAAATAAAGAGAAAACGTAACATTTTCAAGGATAGTTTAATGAAAATATCAACAATTTTCTTGGGAGTTTTTCTTGACTAGCTTATCAGTGAAATGTCAAATTTGATTTGAGGCATTTAAGTGTCACACACTTGATTTACTGTTTTTGCTTTACCAACACTACTTGGACACTTTGCTTAGAAGCCAAGAGGAAAGATACTTGATTGATTATTTCTTAAATCTCTCCCAGGTCAATCTTAACTTGCTCACCATCACCTCCAAGACAGAACTTTCTTCCAACTTTTCCAGTTGGAATTAAGAAAAATGGTATAAGAAGAAACAGAAATAAATGAGGAAGTCTTGACAGGATGAGATAAAGCAAAAATTTTCCACGGTTGCCTGTTTGAACTTCTCATGCCTTGCTAATCCTGCTGTAATTTAAGAAGAAACTGATCAAGGGTGTATCTAGCCCTAAGCATGCTTTGTCAGCTGCCTAACTAGGCAGAAGCTAATTAGGGAGATGCTACTAACCTGGCCACTTGTCTTGGTCCATTCCTTTCTTAGTTCCCTGGAACCAAGGACTGTTCTTCTAGCACTATTAGGGATATTAGAGGACATCTCCTTTTGTAGTCCATTTAGCATTTTATACATTTAGCACCATTTAATTATGTCTTAGCTTACTTTCCCCTGTGTGTATTACTATATATTTTTATACCTGCCATCTTTTTGGCTGCTCAATTTTATGAGTACCAACTGAAGATTCTCATAATTAACATGGCTTATTTAACACGCCATGAAGAAATTGGTATCATCTGTAGATTTGAAGAGAACTGTTTGCTTCCTGCTCCCAGATTACTAAGTCTTCCTGAATAAAAATACTCATTATATCCATTAAATAAAAACAGATTTATCATCAATGCCTGAGAAACTGATGATTCCTCTCTATTAAGATTCTTCACTTCATACATGTGAGCCAGCTTTCAGTTCCTAGCAGAACTTTTCTTCCAATTCCATGCAGCCTTATTTCTTCAATAAACTATGCATCACTCTGTCAAAGGCTTTTACTATTATTATTTTTATAGTACTGTGTCCACAGGGCTTCTTTAATTCATGTGCATATCAACTTTCTCACAGAATACCAGAGATTTAGTGAGGCAGCACTTCCATTCACAGAAGCCATAGTGACTCCTTCCCTTCAGACTGTGGTTAACCATGCATTCCATGATCTTATAGATTTTGCCATTTTACTGTGGACAGAAGGCAAATCCATTAATCTATAGGTCTCAGAGAGCCCCTTTTAAGCCATTTTTTGAGATGAAGTTATGTTGGCAATACATCAGACCTGTACACAATGGGCTGTTTCCAACCATGAGGTATGCACACTGGCCAGTAGTTGGTAGCCTTGCAACACTGCTCAGCTTATCCTTCATTCCAACTTCTGTGGTTCGCTATATCAGAGTTTTATTTGGTGCCAAGTATTCCAGTTCCCTCTGTTTTTATGCTTCTGGCATTGGTGTAGAAGCACTTGTAAGTTCTGTCCTTGCTTTATCACTTAAAACTGCATATGCCTGCCAACTTATTTACCTTCCTTATTTATTGCAATTGTATTGTTTACTTTCCTCCTGAACTTCACATAGGCATACGAAACATCAATGAAGTCCATTGCGTGGATTTAATCAGTTTGGACCATGTATTCTTCAACAGCTTTTGCTTTAGCCCCTTAGCTTTTAGTTTAAATCTTTCTCTAAAGAGGGTTTCAATTTTCAGTGTCCATGGCCTGACTTTATTATGATTAAGGTACAGCATATCCTTTCCGTACAGGCTCCATTTGTATCCACAAGGTATTCCACTTCTTAACATACCTAAAATCTCACTTCTGTACCACAATACTCTACATTACTACCAAAGCTCTTGTATTATGAAACTACAGTCTATGTGATTTCTGGAGGGACCTCACAAACTTTCTGTACTAACAAGAGCGCACAGATCCAAATCAAGATGTAGGCATGAGTTGTAGAGAAAACATTGAGATATTTTTTCATTTACCAAGGAAACAGAAATAAACAGTGTTGTCCTCCAACCATTTACAACTTGTTCCATGTAAAGTACCTTCTGTCCAAATATTATCTGAAAACAGCTGGATAAAAAAGTACATAATACTTCCAGTCATGTATTTCAGCAGACTTACACTCCACTTTTCACAAGAATCGTCCCTGTTTCTGGGCCAAATCCAGTCTGTTCCAAATCAGGAATTTCTTCATTGATGATGTCCAGTGCTTTCCCATCTTCATCATCGGATTGAAAAAGTGCCACTGATGACTCTATGAAATCCTAAGAGGCAGCATATGAGTTAGAGGATACGATGCCAAAGCTCAGTGCTACTCCACTACATAAAACATTTTGTCCAAGAGCTGCACACTGAGGGATAGTCCTTTATAAAACAATGAAAAGGCTTAGGTCCTTGTGAAGATCTTCAAGGGAGACTTTGGTATTGAAGAGCCTAGCTGGATGCCTGTCAATCTTACACATTCTTCATTTATTTCCCCAGTAGAGAGGAAGAACCTGCTGCCTCTTGAGTACCACCCTTCTCTTTATGAGAAAGACAGTGCAAAAGTACGTGCTTGTGAATGAGAACGGTGAGAGCGAGCATTTGTCTTCTAACAGCTTCACAAATGACTACTCCAAGCATTGCCATGACTACAGACTTTTATTTCAAGTTTTCCTACTTTTTCCCTTCCCTGGGGCAAGGCAATAATCAAAGAGAGTAAAAGGAAGACATGGGCAATCGTAGATCCTTTTTTCAGCAAAAAGGGTTTGTAGCTTTTGGAGATGTGTCCTGTGTGACCAAACACACTCTACAGCAATAAAACAAATCTCAGACTGTACTGTTGCATTCTGCCTTATATAACTGCGTGACATTGTTTTGCTTAGCCAGATTACTTGGACAACTTTAATTAAAATTGAGCTTCAAATATCCACCTTTTTAAATACTCAGCAATTTTAACAACACAATTCAGTCACTGTTTGGAAACATGGAAAACAACAAACCATTCACTTTCCTTCTTTAAACTTTTATCCAAAGCATGAACTCAATTCAATTTCAGTGTTTCTGAAACATTCTGAATGTTGTAATGAGCCACAAATTAGAAAGTTTTGCAAACTGTTAAGCAAATACAGTAGCCAACAGGTTGACACATAATATGAAGGCATCACACAGGAATTATTACATTAAGCACTTTTTAATATAGCAATTAAGCTACAGTCACTATGCTGAAGGCTACAATGAGAAAACTAGCCTTACAAGAATCAAAAAAAGCACTTAAAAATTAAGGCCAGACCAAGCACGCAGCCAGATGGAAGAGGCTCTTTAAAGGAGACCGTCCTTGTACACAGGATTCAGTCATAATCAAAACCAATTTTAGAACACGCATTCAATGTGTCAAGCTCTGCATTGTTTACAGGATATTAAAAAGTGATGCAGCAAATTCTGTAGTAAAACTGGCTTTCCTACTATGTTGACCATCTACCGCTTCCACTTATTTAAAAAGTTGCAACTACTTCAAGTATGCACTAGAAATTCAAGTACAATGTCTGGTAAAGTAATCAACTGCAGTTTCAGGCTACTACATAGAAAAAAGAAAAAATATTAATGCAGTTTTAGTGACAATGAGAAACAGCTAACTTAACAGCCCCAAAGCAAGAATTTTATATGAGTTCCTGAAAAGCCACTGAGTTCATATATGCACTTAATTTCTTTAAATTTTAAATACTGAACATACATCCAAAATTTTAATTTAAAACACGTTTTAAATACAGTCATGATTTTCTCCTTACAATTTTCACTGTGGTTTCTTGTAAACAATATGAAATACTTAAAAATGAACTTTGAAGACAAGGCCAATTTTCAATCTGAAAACATCAGTGGGAAAGTACTCTGCTGCACTGTAAGAGATTCAGAAATTGGTCTTTCCCTGATCATGACAAACACGAACAAACTCCAGCTTCACAGATTTGACTCTGCAGAAAACAGCAAACACGACCAGTCCCCCAAATCAGCACACAGTATAAGCTGCTGCCCTCCCTCAGGAACTTGTCCTGCATTTGACTCTAGCGAGTCCAATGTAGCTGCTGATAACAGAGCTGCCAGCATGTTGGAAAATAAAACTCTGAATGACCTTTCTCTCTTTCAAAACACTCTCTGAATCCCTTCATGAGAGCCTGTAGCAATTTGTAGCAGAAGTATTTCAGATAGACAAAATCTGAAATATCTTGACAGCATACCTACACGCATGTGCGTCTTTAACAGAGAATGGACAGGGGTTGCATTCACAATCTCTGCTTTGTGAGTGATGAAGAAAACTTTCTGATTTCACAGGAGATAAAACTCATGCCTCAGCTGCACAGCAATAGTTGTTGTGTGTGCAGAAACATGGCTTGAATACTCCTGCTGCTAATAAGCTCCCAGTGAACCCAGCATGGCGAGCATAGTGCCAGTGAAACACTTGAAAAGCTTTGCACAGCCACATTTGACATTCTGCACTGACACAGGCTAATGAGGTATACTGCACTCAGCCCAGTTCTGCAGTCACTGACGTGCTCCTGCACCATGCTTCCCGCTCAGAAATGTTTGATCAGACTCTGCCTGGAGCTGACTCAGGTAAGCAGGGCTTATTAGCTTGGGATTGTGCTGTGCGAGCCAGGCTAAATTGTTTTCAGGCTTGGGCTGGCCTTATAGCCAACAGTGTCAAGGTCATCTGGTGTCATGTCTGAGTTAAAATACTATGCAGGGAGCAGTACAGCTAGAGGTGGCACTGGTGAGTATCTGAACGGAGTAGGGGTCAGCCTCCTCTCTCCCTGTACAAGCTGATCATAAATAACTCAATACAGCTACATTTCACCTATTCCCTCATGTTCTGCAGAAACTCTTGAATCCACCTGACTAAAAAAGAATTTTCAGGGAAGAGGAATAAAGAATCTAGTATCTGGGAACAACCCTACTTAGTCTGAGACTATTACAGCCATTACTGTATTCTTCCTCGCAGCATTGGTGAGATGATGGCAACAAGCTTGTACGCTCTCTATTTAGCAAGGGGCCTGATGCACAGACAGCTGGTTTTGCATTTTTGCCCAAGTCCTGTTGAAAACAAGAGTTTGGCACTAAAATGTTTTTAAGCTTCTGACCTTAAATCAGATAGAAAGTCACAAAGGGAACATACGGAATGCCTTAACACTGACCTACGTATTGTGCATCAGAGCATGGCAGTCAATCTGTTGGTCAAGCCTAACAAAACTGCACTGCCATCAGTCATTTTACTGACTCCAGACACAAGCTTGCTTATCTCTTTACATTACGAGGAAAAATTTTAATAGCAGAAGTATACACTGATATACATTTACATATCAATTTGAATAATATATGTTGATAGTTGAATATGAATGACACGTTTTCAAAACGCTAAGGATTTGAGTACTCATCTTGCCTACTGTAGGCCTGAATCAAATTAAAGTCACAGAATTATTGAAAATCCTGAGATGGAAAGAACCTACGATGATCATCAATTCCGCCACTGGGGCCCTCACTGAACTACCCAAAATCCAAACCCTACATCTGAGAGCAGTGTCCAAACACTCTCTGAACTCTGACACTTGGGGCCGTGCCCACTGCTCCGGGTAGCCTGCTCCATGCTCACCTAACACCCAGCTGCCTCTCCCCTGACACAGCTCCATGCCATTCCCTCAGGCCCTGTCACTGTAACAGAGAGCAAAGCTCAGCGCTGCCCCTCTGCTCCCCTTGTGAGGGGCTGCAGCTGCCATGAGGCCTCCCCTCAGCTCCTCTGCTCTGGGCAGCCCAGGGGACCCTCCACCACTCCTATTATGCCTTGCTCACCAGATTGTTGAACATCTTTCTAGCCCTCTTTGGATCCCACTAACAGTTTTTTGTCCTTCTTACATTGTGGCAGCCAAACCTGCACCCAGAGATCCAAGGCCTTCCTGTGCCAGCTGCAGAAATTGGCAGTTCCTTTGGCAGTTCCTCTTGTTAAAATTACACGCTACATATAATTGTGGCACATACAGCTGCCTATACATGCATAAACACAGAACATCATCTCTGCTAAACTTGTGCACAATTTAAAATCAGTATATATGTGATTTGCTCAACAGAAGATTTAAAAATATTAAGTTACTCAAATACATTATACATAGCTTGAAGTGTAAGAAGCAGTTAGAAGTAAATTCCTGCCAAATCTGAAAAACAAATTATTCAGAGGAGAACATTTTTCTTCAATTCATCGACTTCTTTGAATTAATTGAATTTCATAAAAACTAAACCCGCATGTTGTGAATTTGAGCACGACTCCTTTTGGCTCCCATTAACTCCACCCCACTTCTGCTGCAAAATAACAGTCAGTGTTGAGACAGTGACATTGCTTTGCATGCCTGTCTTCAATCTTCACAAAACTCATGGTTCAGGAACATCCCATCACATCAGAAAGACTGGATAATCTCAGAGTCAACAATCTAATTCTCAGAAGGAGCCACTCTTTGCAGCTGCATTTAAAGAGCAAGAGCTCACACAGACCCAGAGTTTTTATTATTTCATTGTTGCCCCACACAACATATTTTAGCAGAAGAGATCTTATCACCGTGATTATTCATATTGCCAAAATTTTCTGGCACAAAAATTACAGAGACAGAAGGCAACACTGTTTTAAGGCTTTCAACAGCTGCTGTGTTGAACAATCACTTTTTGGTATTAATAAACAACTATATTGTACACTTAATGATGATAAACTTTTAAGAAAAAACTGCTTTAAGAAAAGTATCCAAGAGATTTGGATGGCTTGAGGTGCAGAATCACAGAATCACAGGGGTTGGAAGGAACTTCCAGAGATCATCGAGTCCAACCCCCCTGCCAAAGCAGGTTCCCTACACCAGGTCGCACAGGTAGGTGTCCAGGCGGGTCTTGAACATCTCCAGAGAAGGAGACTCCACAACCTCCCTGGGCAGCCACTTCCACTGCTTCCACTTCTCCTCTTCCACTGCTCCTTCACCCTCATCATAAAGAAGTTCTTGCACAAATTTGTGCGGAACTTCCTATGCTCCAGTTTCTGGCTGTTTCCCTTGTCTTGTCTCCACATTGCTGAAAAGAGTCTGGCCTCACCATTCTGCTTCCCAAACCTTGCAAAAGTCTTGCAGTGGGACAAGGAACTCCATGCAACACATTCCTTGCATAAGTTTTAAAAGGGCTACTCAGAAGTTGCCTCTGCTATACAATGCATAGAGTCTAAATTTCAGCAACTAGGATAAGACTGACAGTGAAGTTGGGCATGACTTGGAATGATCAAACAGACAACAGCTGTACCGTAAATGAAAAATAACATCCCTTTATGTATAGAACTATGTATAATTTGTGTGAAATTCACAAAAGTACTTACAGCCTGAAGGAACCGGAAAGACAGGAGAACACTGCCAGTTCCTCCCCATGTGTGTGTGTCCTCATAATCTCCTTCCTCAAGTAAGTACTGGCGGCCTTTGTAGCGTTCTTTGTCATAGGCAACCCATCTAAAGCAATCACACAACAAAAGAAAGAGAAATAACTAAAAGCAAAACAACTCCATACATGATTTTCCATAACAAATAAAAGAGGACAAGAACATCCTAAGAACACTCATATCTTAGACTCAGCTAACAAACAAAGCAAGACTTGTTGGAAATCTCAACAAGCACTCAAGAAGTGTTCCTTGCGTATCAAATCCTTCCATGTAATTATTTCTCCAATAACAGTTTATCTGCGTAATGTTTCTAGATGTATCTCTACTCATCAGTCATATCCCCAATACCAATATTCAGTACTACAGAGGTTAATGCATCTAGCTGCCATAAAACCCTAAAATTACCAATTGCCAGTGATAAAACCCAGTGCAAATCTCTCCCGTGTTCTCATAAATAAGCAGATACTACCCTGGTGTTAAAACTTGGGGATTTCAGCAGAGGAAGATTTCATCCATTCCCAGTACTTCCTGTTCTAATCTATCCATCTAATCTATCTAATCTAATACATAGTGTATTTGAATAGATTATTTGTGTATTCACAATTAAGTTTATTTTCAATGTTATGCTTGTGAAATTTGGATGACAGCCTGTGTATTAAATACATTTTATTATATTACATCCTTACACTGAATTATTAACACTGAAACCCCTTAAGAAAAAAAATGAAGCTTCTGAAAACTATTTTATTGATAGAAGCAACCATCTTTTATACTTCCAAACAACCTTAAATTGTTGGGTCTTAAGAGAGGGTGACAATGTGTAGTTTAGTAGCTTTCTAGAACAGCTTGAGCTGTCCATCTCTTCAGTGGCTCACCTAAGCATCTGGCCCTTTTCATGAGAGTGTGGGAGGAAGCGAGAAGAAAGGCAAAAGATAACCAATCCAAGACCTCAAAGAAGGACAATAAGGATGAACTCTCAGTTTTAGACAACATCCAACAGGTGACAAAACCATAAACAGAATAAGACAGTTTATAGATTCCATGAGCGTTTAAATATCAAACTGAAGTTAGACCAGAACCATGTATCAAACTAAATTAAAGCTTTATGCATATACTGGCACTAAGGAACTAAGTGGCCAAGTTTACTGGCACTGAAATGGTCAACACTGACTTCAAACACCCCTCAAACAGTTTTATCTTCCTGTATTTCCTTAAATAAATAAGATGTATTGAAAAGTAGTTTTACCCAAGGCTGGTAACTGATAAATGTAAATTTCTTTCTTCTCAAAATATTTTACTAGTGAAATATATTCTAGTCATGTCTTAATTGGAATTTCTTAGCATTTAGTTATGCTAGATTTATTTGAAATATTCTCTTTTTTTCAAAAAAAAAAAAACAAACAAAAAACAACCTAATAACAAAAACCCACAAAAAACACTTACACGCCACCAATGACACGTATTGATCCAATGCCCTGAAAATCCTCTTCATCACCAAACAGAGCCAAGACAGAATTAATATTTTCCGAAAACTCTTTGGACCACCCTTCAAAGTGGGTTTTCTCATATATTATTATCTAGAAAACATAATTTCAAACAAAACCTTGAGTATACCCCATGCAATAGTTCAAAGTTTAGGCATGTGCACTGCTACAGTATGTGGCAGACAGTTTCTTTTCACCTTCAATAAGCTACCACTATTAAGAAAATTCAGCACTGTATTCCTAAAATTTTCTGATTCTTCTACACCCTGGAAGCTGAAGAGATCCTATGTGAATTTAGGTAGGCTTGTAAGACATCTGCAGGTATTTTCACAGACTACTCATTCACACAATTCTATGACAGGTAATTGCACTTTGTAATTATATGACTGTGATTTATCCTTAATAACGTGCTTAGGCACTGCAAATCAACCTGCATGGAATCCTGCCTTGTCACAGCTAGATGTACTGAACAAACACCTTAAAACTAGACAAGAGGTCTTTCTCTGCACTTCACTGAAGTCATTTCAGTGACTGCAGTTAACACACTGTCTGGTTTCCTCATCTGCCAAACCAGACTAACCAGTTATCAATAGCATTAACATTTATTAATAATATTTAATACAAAAAATCTTAAATGTTGCATGTATTTGTAATTAAAAGCTACCTAAAGCATTAATATTTTTGTGGAGAAATAGAAAAAGGAGGGAAAAGGAACAATTATTCTGGAATAGCTATCTGGTTCACAAGTCACAGGTCTGTGGTCACACCCTTGACTATTGTATTGGACTCAGATAGAGGAAGGAAGCATCCTAACTTCCCTCCCATAATTTATTTTTGTAAACATGGTACATTAAATATGAAAGTCCCAACCTCCTTTCATTATAGTGATGAATGTGTCATTCAGGCAAATACATTTTACATTACAAAAGCTTTACAATTTTTCTATAGCAAATTCCTATTCTTCTAGTATGTAAAAACCAAACTACGACTACTTTTGCACCTCACAAAAAATGAGTAAGAAAGCAGATTTGACAGTCTTCGTGAATTTACCTTCAGCAGCATGTAAACTTTGAAGATTCAATCTAACATCACAAATTCAACAAAAACAGCTTAGATAGAAATTTTATTTTTCCAGGCTCACATTTTGTTCCATCTCCTTAGTGCTTACCTTGACATTCATAGGCATTTGGACCTTCAATCCACCCTAAAAAAAAAAAAAAAAAAGGAAAATGGTACTTATACAAAATTTGAAGTTACATTTTGACATGCATTTTAGGTTACTATAGGAGCATAAAGTCTCAATAGTTATATTCACTATATTCACTGACAGCTGAACCAAACACTAGCTTAAATACTCTGATAATTCATGAAGACCAGGGACACTATAAACCTGACCAAAACAATAAGCAGTGCATTGACTAGCCTGCAGGGGTTGAAACAATTTTAAAATATTAAATTGTTGTCTATTTGCACTTAAAAACAATATTTACAATGTGTATTTTTAAACTAATTTGCACTGGCCAATTTTTAAAATCAGCTTATAAAGTTGTGTGGTATATATTTCAAGTTGTTTAAGCACAAATGATGAAATGCAAACAATAAGCCTGGGAAGGCAGAAGATACAGGAAAAAAGTAACCTACGCAAATGTACTCTCTGTCAATGTTAACAAATGGTACTCTGCAGGGGAACAAGACACCTCCCTACCAAGCCATTATGTTGTATTCACTTGTGGCTTTAAAACTCTTTCTCTAGACTCGCATAAAGTGAAATGATATGTTGTATCCTTCCACATTTTTTTCATAATTAGACCTACATGCTCTCTACTAAAATTTAAATTAGCTGCCCATCCCGATATTTTTATGCAGTGTGAGGTCTTAGGAAGGCTACTGAATATTTGTCAACAGTAGATCTCTCAACTGCCTTCCAACCCCAGAAGACTCTAGCTATACTATTAAAAAACAAACAACTTACAATCTTTTTTAGTTACTGAATTGGTGTTGGTTTCAGTGCAATTCCAAATCTTTCAGTTCTGCCCTATTTGATCTCTACTCTACAGCAGCACTTGCCCAGGAAGACACTTTGAAGACATGTTCTTACCGAGGCAGATGTAGGAGCTCATGAGAACTAGTAACACTAGTAACACTACAACACTGCTGATACACCATGACATGACAGGGGTGTTACATGTGTAAGGATTAACCCTGAAAGGATGTCAATTAAAATCACCAAGGCAGCAAGGGTAGCAAAAGGCGAGCACACCGTTTACTAGAGTTGTGAAGTCCTCACCATTTTTAAGGGACGCATAGATCTTACATCTGCTGAAGGAATTTCAGATGGTTCACTGCATTCTTCCAAAATCTTCATCTCCCCCTTGTAATTTAAATCTGAATAAGCAAGCCATCTGTAACAGTCATGATGAAGGACTTATTAATCTAATCACATACATTACAAATACAATGATCTTGTCAAAATTATTTTTCTTTTTGTACCTGTTAGAGGTAAACTATATATTGGGGAAAGCTGTCAGCGCATCAAAAATCACGTATAGTTAAATACACTTACACTATCAGTGTTCAGGAGATCTCAGATACTTTTATTGAGTCTATGCTAATCAAATTAAAGAAGAGAAAATTTGTTCACTTGCATTAAGAAGCCAATTTGTTATACTACAACTATACAAAATCAGTGTCAGTATTAGGATTGTTCAGCCTGCAGGAGGCTCATGGGAGACCTTATGTCTTTCTACAGCTACCTGAAAGAAGGTTGTGATGAGATGGGGTCAGCCTCTTTTCCCATGTAATTAGCAACAAGGTGAGAGGGAGAGGCCTCAAGCAGCGTCATTGGAGGTTCAGGTTGGATATTAGGAAAGAGTGGTCAGGTGCTGGAACGGGCACCTGTTCCAGGTGTCCACTGCCCAGAGAGGTGGTAGAGTCACTGTTGCCAAAGGTATTCGAGAAACATTTAGATGTAGTACTAAGGAACATGGTTTAGTGGGGAAATATTGGTGTTAGGTGCATGGCTGGACTCAATGATCTTGGAGGTCTTTTCCAGCCTTGGTGATTCTATGATTCTATGATGAGAAACTAGCAGGAAATTTTTCCTAAGATTGTTATCATAGGAATCAAAATGCTTCTAACATCAATCTCAACTTTTTTGAGTGGAAGTTATTAAAATACTGTTATGACTCTCCTTTTAAAAACAAGCTACTGTAATTTTGACATGTAGATTAAAAATATTGAGACTCCTTCAGACTTCTTTAAATCAAGAACATGGAGCAGAGAGACATCAGACACAGGGTTAGTAAACCAAATAAGGAATGGAAGAAGAAACACGGTGCTTTATGGACGATTATTTTTTTTAAAACTACACACACAGATTCAAATTCATAGTCAGTCAGTCAAAGTTCTGCCAAAACTAAAATGAGACTGTTTGTAATTCCTTCATCACCTCAACCTTTACAGATATATTGCAAGTTCTTGGGAAGGAAAGTTTGGTTCATGTGGAAAAGGCAAACTCAGACTCTTGTAGTAGAACAGCTAAAGTCATTCTGCAGAGAAGAGGCAATTTCCAAACTTCAGGAAATGTGTTGTCTTGCCCGTTTACCAAGGAAACAGACTGTTCTGCTCAGCATGGACAACTGAGGGAGCCTGTATCATATTGCGTCACATCTCTGCAAGCAGTCTGTATACAGCTGTAGCTTGAGGAATATTTGTATGACATAATACTCACCTTTTGGTATTCAGCCATGATGTTACAGTTACAACAGGATGGGCGCCTAGCAAGACAGTACTTATTCTCAGTGAACTAAAAGCTAATTATAAGCTTTTATATGAGCAGCTTCTTCTATTTATAAAGCCACTCAAGGACTGAACTAAAGAGACTTCTGCCAGCAACCAGAGGAAAAAAATCCTTTGAAAACTTGCTTCCACTGCTAGAAGGCCACTTAGTAGTACAATGTCGAAGAGAAGAGCTGGAAATACATAGTTATGTTAACTGATTTAAAGCAAAAGCCTAAAGCACTTTTCCTATTACTGACTTTCATCTCGTGATATTCTACCTGCTGGCAAACTGCATTAGAAAAAGTTCAGTACTCACATTCCTGATTTGACACGTATATATGGGTTTTTTTCAACATCCAGTTCTTCTAAATTGGCAACTGCACTTTGTATGCAGATAGGAAGTCCCTCTGTACTGGCTCCCACGCTGAACTCAATCTCCGGAACACTGCAGTCCTACAGAAACAAATCAAACGCTAAGGGTTATCCGTGCTTGGAACGTCTGCCCCTTTAGGGGGAAGGGGAAAAAGCAAAAGTAATTCTTTCCTTTTTCCTATTTTGTCATCCTTTCAGCCAGGCTTTACATGATAAAAGATGTTTGTTTTGTTGTTTTCATTCTGAAGTGAAAATTGGGATTTTTAGAAAATCTGAAGGAACTATATTTCCAGCTCCCACTAAATAAACACACTTAGCAGCCTAGACTACTTTCCAAAAGCTCAGTTTTGATGCTGTTCAAGTAAAGGAACTGACAATATTTACTGATAGACAAACCGTACATATGATATACTGCAGTATTTTTTAATTACTATTTTGAAGACAGTGATTATACATGGCACATTTAGATACTTAGGATGATGTACCCATAACTAAAACTTTCTGGAAATGTCCACCACTTCATTCCTGTTCTTTAACATACACTCCTGGTGGTAATAGGTGGTAACTAGGTCAGATGTTATGCATCTGACTATGGTTTCAAGATGCGTGAGTTCAAGTTTCAATCACATTAAAAATCTATAGCATTTTAGACAAAGAACAGTAATAGAAAACATTTGTAAAGCAGATACTTCAGCAATGTTTCTGTAACTACAAAGCAACAGCCTGTGTTACCTTCTTGAAGGTTTTCTTCTGGTATTTGTCTATACTGGAGAACAACTGTCTGAACACCTGATCTGCTCTAGAATCCAAAAGGCTTTTTAATTGAACCATGCTAATTGCATAACATTTATATAAAATTCATTGTGAATATTTTTTTTTCTCAGCAATTACACATTATGATTCAGTTTGGATCTTCTGTGAAGTCTTGATTCAGCAGTGCATTAACAGAATAGTCTTTCTGTTACAGTGAAAGGTGGCTCACGTGCTTACAGAGCTTGCTAAACTTTAAGTGAAAACCTTCAGTTCTCAGTGTAACTTTACAGTATGCATCTCCCCCTGAACCACGGATCTACTAGCATTATGCTAAAGATTTTGGACATCATAAAAAAATCCAGCAAATCGTAAGTGTAGCTGGATGAAGATTTCCTTTGAAGGTGCACTGGAGAAGAAGCTGGAGAATAAGGATGCTGCCGCCCGCACATCTGAATTTTTTGGTTTCTGGATTTGCTCAAGAACAAGCCAAGGTCACAGTGTGACAACGATCCCACATGGCCTGTGGTGTCTCCAATACCCAAAAGGCAAAACACCAAGTGATTGCAGAGAAAGTCAGCATCAGGGCACAAAAGTTGCAGCCCCTCATCTTGTCAAAATGCCTGCATGCTCGCCCTCTTCACATGAGTTTTGAGTGGAACTTTCAAATGAGGAAGTTACATCCCAGCTACAAAAACATCTCTGCTTCGTCAAAGTTCTTGCAGGAAGTATTTAACTGACAGCAATAGATGTGCCACTTCTAATACGTGCATTTCTATTATTTTGTTTTCCTCACAAGACCTGAAGTATCATTGTATTCTGCTTTGGCAACTTCTTGCACAATTGTGTTTCCTCTGTACTGTTGCAAGCAACAAATACTGTCAGGAAAAACAAAAAACCACCCTGCAATACCAACAGTTTTATATAGATGAGTAAAAGCAGAAAGACTAAGAAACAAAAACTTCCTAGTGCAATACTACTTTATAAAAAAGTACTGAATGAACATTATATCTCAAGTTCTAAGTATATCACAAGACAAGTTTAAAAAGCAATCTCCCCGTAGTTTTCATATTGATATGAATCTTATTAAATAACAGGTAAGAAATACTTGAAATTTGTTTTTCCTAATGAGACCAGTCAGATGATATGGCTGAAACCTGTGAATCCAACAGTAGAATTTGATAAGCCAAATCAGAAATTGCATCTACATTCCACAAAAGAATTCCACAAATAATGATGCTGAACTTTTAGCTCTACAAGACTAAACAAGTAGCATAACAAAGTATCTTTGCCTGTGGGCTCAGACAGACTAGGAGACAGTATGTTTGATTTTCATTTGGTACAAGGTAATTAATTTTTCCATTTGAAGTTTAGAAGAAGCCAGTCTGTATTCTCTTTACAAGTTTTCTTTCCTGATTGAAGCTAATGAGGCGATTCCACTTCAACAGGTGAAGAATCTAGCAGTTCTACAAAGCCTAGGCAAAGCGTGGATAATCATAATAAGATCTCTCCCATTTACCACCACCTCTCTCTTCAGCCAGGTTTTGACAGCCATAAATAAACTCTACTCATTGTGATGGTATTTTTGTATCTACTAGATTAAGTTCACAAAGTCTTTTCATAAAGTAGCAAACTGGAATTCTTCAACAAAAGCAATACCTACTTAAGTTAATAACACCTTCAAGCAAAAAGTACACTGTATTTTCCAAACACGTGAAAAAAAAAAAAAATCACAAATACACATTTTGACTTAAATAGTGAGATACACAGATTAATTTGCATGCTGATGAAAATGACAGAATTTAGTCTTGCTGTATAAACAAACATTATTTATTTGCAGATGTACACCATGTAGTATGACATTAATTTCCAAAATTTAAGCATGTAAACTTTAGCTTGGTAAATATTTACCACAGCATGTTCAGATTTGCCTGAACATACTTAACAGGCATCATTATTTTCAGAGCCCTCTTTAACTTTCATAATAAAGCCATCATCATTCAAAACAAAATGAAAACCACACACGTTATGATAGCACTCAGACCAAACCCCTTTCATTTTTGAGGCGTCGAGATTTTAGAATAAGATACCTATATGCAAAACCAGTAGAACAGTGTTGCAGAACAGATCCCAAACTGGAAGGTTTCCTTTCTACTACCCCGCCTAACACCCACTCCACAAGCAGTCAAAACTTTTGCCTTATTCATTATCCTACTGACAAATCAGGCAAAAACAAAAGAAAAAGCACTGCAAACAGATTAAGTCTCCTCTGGGTAGTTGTCACATTATACACAACTAGTGAATGCTTAGGTAAGTCACAGCCTACAGGCACTCAACTCTGCCTTCCTTTATTCTGTAGTACTCTCCTCCTGCCTGCACAGTCACTCTGGAGTACTCACGCTTCCCTTATGGTCTTCTAGGAGCAGAGGCGATGAGGAGTCAGCAAAAACAACTATCTTCTACAGTCTGCAAAGTGCTTACAGAACATGGGGGACTACTCCAGACAGTGTGCAGAACGCAGACACTTCCAAAACAGTAACATTCCTCTTAGGAGAAACGTTAAGTCTTCTTCTGAAGAGCCGTATGAAGTACTCTCATGACCTTAGCATAAAATGTTTCTTTGATGGCTTTCTTGTAGCACCTCCAAGAGTTTCACTGTCAGGGATCCAGAGCCACCTTCAGTGATCTTAGCTACTCATCCTTCTTTTGGATCTAGGTTTCAGCACTAACAGCACCAGCAGGGCTAAGTACTTTCTAGCATTGTTAAGCCTTCTCCTTGAAGCTGTATATTTTGGTGATTGAAATAATCAAAATAGCCTGCTTAAGTGACAGTAGCCTTTTATGTCAACACCAAGACAAAGCATAACTAAAGCCTAGCTTTTCAAGCTAAGAGTAAAGACAATGATGAGAGAAGAGTCTATTGAAAACCGGGCCTAATTAGTTCTGGTGCTCACACAGTTGCTTTTTAATACAGTCTAGACAAGCATTTACTGTTAATGCACAGTTTGACCTTAGGATGTGCCGGCTTCTGTAGCATTCTTTTTCTCGCTTAATCCTTACTGTCAGTTCTCCAGATTTTTTTTTATCTATTCAAAATTCTTTCTTCCAGTTATCCTGCTTTGTATCTCTCTTGCTATTCCATATAATCACAAAACCAAGCTTCAGAATTCATCATGGCCTAGCCACGATGTAAAACAAAATATTAAAGCAATTAATGTCTTCACCACCACCAATACTTCTGGGTTGTGGCATTTGACAATGTAGTCCCTGCTCAAATTAATATCTTCTTTTCTTCCAGCAAACCACGCAAGCAAAACACAGCCTTCATATAATATTGTGTGCATTTCCACTACAAAGAGCTTTGCTTAAGGTAAGTCCACAAGGAATCCATTCCCTACATAACCATCTTGCAAACAGAGAATACAAACTGCTGTTAAAGATCTCTTGTCACCATGTATAACAGTGGTTTACTGGATGACTCCAGAAAGGAAACACAAATATCTCTTCTCACATTTTGGTTTTTGGGAAAGCAACCATTTGCACCCTCCTCAGGCTTTCAGAAACAGATTGAGAAGAGGCCCCTGGTTACACAAGATCAATGCATTTGCAGTAGACCAGAGGAACTAATTTGGTTAAATGGATTGTACTGCAGGAGCTGCAACAAATTGGTATGTGCAGGTAGATTTCACTTGCCTAGACCCATGTTTATTTGCCTTAGTGGAATCAAAACTCCTCATCACTTCACACAGGGCTTTGTTTCATTAGTTGCATGTTACTTTGGGATCTTCATCCTCCCCTCCTGGCAAGTTGTTTCAGATTTAACACATGTGGATTTACCTAACTCACGTCCACATGTCAAGTCACAGGCTAATCACAAAGTTAACAGAATCTTTACTTTTTCTGGATGCTTGAAGCCAAATCAGAGCACAAAGTTACTCTCGTATTGTTTCTGAGCACAATAATCTCTGCCAGTTAAAAAAAAATAATAATTAAAAAAAAAAAAAAAATTAAGCGTTCCTCCTACAGTTTTAGTAAACATTTGTTATTCTATTCTTTGTAAGTCATGCTCTTCTCAAATACCTAGCCAGCTTTCAAATCTGCTACCTCATCTGAACAGCCCCTGAACATTTACCATAAAAAAAGCCACCAGAAGAATCAAAAGACAAGCCAGATAGCCTAGACGTACAGCCAGTATGATCAAACCTGGCAGGAGAAAAGCTACTGGGCTACTTAGAAGACAATGACAGAAGTGAAGAGAATGATAGTAAAACACGTGATCTTGCTGATCAGATACCTAAGCTGCCAAAGACAAATAGTTCGTCTGTCATATTTTTCAGAAAAGATAAATTAAAAAAAGTTGTACAATGGCAAACTACCTCTTAAAACAAGTTCCACAGTAGCTGATGTGCAACCGCAAAAAAGGAGAATTCACACATAGAGGTTTAGAGAATAAAACCTTGGTCAATTAAATCTATACCCACAGTAGTTGCATACACCACTAGGTACTTCTAAATAAGTTCACCCAAACAACCTACTGGACATTTAAGTGACATGGGAAATAGTTTTGATTATTAAAACAGGACACTGTAAGGAAGCTTTCCATCTGTGCTCCATACAAATGAAAAACATACTGGAAGAAGAACAACACTCAGCCTACTTAGCTATACTACAGATATTTTTATCCAGCATGATGGAACTAACACCAGTGTCTCTCCTATGCAAGGGCTTTCTTATATACCCAAAGTACACCAGTCTTCCCTATGCATCAGACCAGAGCACTATACATTATTACTGGAATTCTTTCATTATTGAGCTATCTTCCACATTATCAATCATTATTGAAATCCCATTTAGTCAAATGCTTTTAACATTTACTTGAGCTAAACAAATTAACTTCACTGTTCATGCCCTCAGCCAGCTTCTTCTGAGTTCATGTATTTTTAAGTCTTTTATGAATAAGTACTTCTACTTGTTATTATCACATTATGCTGCTGTACTGATGACAGAAAGGTCATCAATTTTAAAATGACTTGTGTACCAGCAGAGAACAGAGAAATAGCACTTTTTCTGAAATGCTTTCATATTGTGATACAAATGATAATTCGGTCACAATAAAGGACCGTTGCACAGTGAATAAATGGAATGTTACACTAAACAAAAAGAGCATTAATTCTTCTTAAATCACAAGATCTGGTAAATGTATTCCTCATTCACTGAATAATAGTGGCTGCATTGTACTTTGTTTTAGACATTTGATTCCCATCTTTTAAACAAAATGCCCTTTAAACCTCTGGCTGTACACAGAGCTAGATGCTGTTAGGTGTACCACCTATCCACAATGTAACACAATACAGTGGAGGCAGTGACAATTTCTGAAGGCTACGCTGTACAAATGGGATGGGAATCCCAATTGCTAATGTCCAAAAGAGAAACCATACAGACACAGGAGGTAGTTTAAACTTAAGATAAGCACTTATTTAAAAAAAAAATATGAACTGATTCCATTTAATTTCAATTAACTGAATGGGTAAACAACTACAAGTTGCTGATTCAGAAAAAGGTAGGGGCAAAAAAGATACTCTATACCTGCTCATTACACTCAGGAAGAAAATAAATTTAGTGCAAAAGCTAATAGCACAGAGTAAATACTCAGCAACTAAAGCCCTGGGATTTACCTTGAAAGTGAAAAATGTGTTTCACAATAAATTTGAATAAAATCTGTAACACAACATAGACACATTGTCCACTGTTAGTAATAGACCACTGCTGACAACAGAAACGTATTATGTACATGACTATATTGTTAATAAAGTCTATACCTTTGTTACATGTTTGATTGAACCCACTGTGAGGTTTCTTCGATGATGCTTCACACCTGGAAGATCCCAAAGGTTGTCCAGTACAGTCTCTCCTTCTTCTAGTACGTATTTCTGACCCTGGAATTTGGGTTTCTCATAGAAAATCCAACTGCAATAATGAAATCATGAACTGAGTTGTTGCTATTTGCCAAGACTGTCTTTACACAGCACATATACTGGAAAGCTTATTACTAAGCCGTTTCTATGATACAAATTATCACCCCTTTCTCACATTCTCTTTCATTCTCTTTCAGTAGTCACATTTACTTCTGATACGTAATACTTCATTTATGTGCTTTAAGTATATAGTTCTTTTCCTCCAGAAGGCTGACTAACATTAACATATGATGTGTATAAAAATATAATTCAATAACTATGTAAATAAAAAGCCTTATTTTACTAGAACAAACACACTAGTTGACATATCAAAGGATGTTCTGTTCAAGTACTACATAAGGCATAAAACACACACATACACACACAAATAATGGCTTTCAGTGTTTCATCAGAACATGAGAGAAATGCAAAATCAATCATCTAAAAACTGTGTAAATGCTATATACATTACTATGGCCAAGAGTCAAACATACACTGTATGCACCACCAAATAAATTTCAAAGCAACAGCTGATATGGTAATGTCTCCAGCTTTCCAAGGTAAAACTATTACTTCATTTTGAACTACAGTTTTACGAGTGGACAGTAGCCAAATCTACCATTAAGGCACCTCTATGTCCTTCTGCATCCACAATCTTTTAGATGCTACATTACAAGCAGTAGTTGAATCTCTATATTGTATGGTCCTTTTGCAACAGCTACTCTGTAATGAAATTGAACAGCAAAAAAAAAAAAAAAAAAAGTTTTCTTTGGCATACATGTACTTCTAGTGACGATTATTGCTTTACTGTCTCAGTAAGCAAGAAGTCTAAATTTACTTGTGGTTCTATTAGGAACTTTCTGTTTGAAGTTAGTTCCCAGGAAGAACAATATTTTTGTACTGCAGCATGCGAAGCCTTGTTTTATGCTTATTTCACTGGTATGAAGTCTGATTATGAAGAAAGAAAAAGGCATTCTTGCAGATCAGATGTGTGTCATAAAGAAACAAAAACATAAGAAAAAACACACATACAATCTTTTGAAAAGATTCTGTTTAAATATGACCTGGATTTCTTACCATCCTCTAATTATCCTAAGTAGTGCTCCAATGGGAAAGATCCAGGATGTGGCATCTAGCACATCAGAATGAATTTCTTGTTTACTTTTGTCACCATGAATATCATAAATAATAATCTGAAACAACACAAACACATATGAATGAAGGCTCATTTTAAAATACAGCACAGACAGCTAATTTTTGCATGGAATAAAAACCACTCATTTTGTGCCTATGGTTTTATGAAGCACTCTGTAAAAATAAAACTGCAGACGAGGAAATACAGTAAGATTACTAGCAGCAGTATTTTTACCATACAATCTTATGATTAGCACATGCAAGCAGATGATACATTACAATACAGAAAGCCAGAATAATGTCAGATACTTCCCATGAAAAAAATCTGCTATAACAAATTGTTCTGTATATCATAGTATATCATATTGAATCATGTAACATCCAAGTTCTACTTACCTTCCCTGGTCTTGGATTGTACGTGAGACATGCCCTGTCAACGAGATTCTGAAATTAAAAAGACATGAAAAACAACTATAAATATCCACCACATTAGCACAAAGCGTAGAAAGCACAGAAAGACTGCACATCTTAACAGTGGCAAAGCCAAATTAGATCCCATCATAAAAAACCATTCCCAATGCCAGAAGACCTGCTTCTTCAGTTGCACATTTGGTTTATGTGGACTTCCAAGTTTCTAAACATTACAAGAACTGTTTCTGTACCTTCATCTGCATTGCTTTAAATACACTTAAAAAGGAACGCTAACAAGAAGCAGCTGTATTACTCATTAGCCAACTTACAAATTAAGTAAGAATTCGCAGTGAAAGAATAAAATAATCCCATAAGCAGATAATATATATTATTTACATTTTATATATAATTTATATATTTTTGAAAATACAGCTCTACTAATCTTAAAAGTGGACGAAGTGAAAGAACAATGTTCATACAAAAAGCAATGTCATGATTTTCAGATTGAAATGTCCTCAACATAGCGAAGCCTGCTTCCTATTTTATAGACTTGCCATTAGGCATATTTTTTCATTACATTTTCTGCTCACATCTCCTCTTTTATAATTAGAAACTGCTTTCATCTATCTTTCACCTGTGTGAACAAAAAAATGTATTTTTTTTCAATTATTCTATCAGAAGACTTTTTTTTTTTTTTTAATCTATGATCTTAAACACTCTAATTAACCCAGGAAGGGAAGGGGCTGAAAACAGATGAGGTGAAAAAGAAATTTTGAACTGGCGCTAACCATTTTGGTTATTAATGTTAACTGACGTGACATCTTACCACTGGCAATTCTCCCAGTTTGGGCATGGCATGATCTTGGGACCAACGAATCTTTGGCTGCAATATATCCTGGAGAATATTTCCAAATCTTGTTCCCTTCTCAGAGGAGTAATTGTTGGCAGATCTCAAGTACTGGTAATATGCACTCGTAGGAGGATGCTTTAGAGTAGTATCAGCTTTCTGTGAAACTGGATTGCAGTATGTTTGCCCAGAAGTTTCATCTTGAAACTGCTCTGTTTGCTCCTTAGAGTCAAACTGCTCTTCTGAAAGAAAAGGCAATTGCTCAGGTAATGGATATGTATTTTGGTCATTTGAGAGAACGGTTCTTGTTCGATTGCTTGACCACTGACTGGAAAGACATTCTTCTTCTCCTCTCACAACATCAAGCACATTTCCTTCATATGATGACCGGTCCTCATCCTCATCCTCCACTCCCTCCTCATCTTCCTCTTTACTGAACTGAGTGGTCAACTGTAGGCGCTCAGAAACTGATTGGAGAAGGGACAACACAGAAGTATGGTCAGAGTTATCTTTAGATACTCTATTAGGATGGCCTTCTGGTGACATGTCTGCAGACAGCAAGTCTTCATGGGAGCTGTCGTCTTCATATATTGGAGACAAAGAGAAAGGATATATTCTATAGCGTTTGGCCTCCACACTCAGAAATGACTCTGAGCTATTGCCCTCTGTGGCTTTATTCAACTTGTTATCCTTTCCATAAAAACAGGTGGGCTCATTTTTATTTTTTGCTCTTTCACACATTAGATAACCTACACTGTCCAAAGACAGATCAGAAGGAGAAAGTGAGCTGGTTTGTATAGCATCATTAGAGACAGATCTGTTCTCAGTTTGAAGGGCATCTTCATAAACGATTGTAAAAGAACTATTTTCCCACTGCTCAATTAGTGGAGAAAAGCCTAAAAGATCTGTCGATTCCTTCGTGTCCAGACCATTTTCTTCAAGCTGATCATTTCTCTGCACATCTGAATCCTTCATTTGCATCTCTTTCAGATTCTCTTTACTTTGGGCATAAACTGAGTTGAAGTAGTTTTTCCCTTCATTGTGGTCTCCAGTAGCAGGCAACTCAGAGTCAATGAACTGTGTATTTAACTCAAAATTGACAAGTGTCTCACTTGTCCCCCTTGCTGGTTCCTCTTCACTCTCCCCCACCTTTGAATCTTCAAAGACTGCTTTTACTTGTGAAAACACTTCTGCAGCCTCTCTTCCACTGTGTTCATCCAGATTATCCTCTGCACTACTTTCCACAGTACCCTGAGGACTCCTTTTGACTCTGTTTTCACTTTGTGAGCTGATACTTTCTTCATCAGGCATAAAAGACGACAAATTACCATTTACAGATGGCAGCAACGTGAGCTCTGGCATATCTGCATTATTGCATGAATCATTTAACTGCAATGGTCGAAATATTTCTTCAGTAACAGCTGCATCTCTATTTATTAAATGTAAAGACACATCAGATTTTCTACTTGTTGCTGATAATCCAGCTTTACTGCACATCTCTGATGCAGCCAGATGTTCATACACCTTTTTATCGTGTCCCTCTTTTGTTGGTATCATAGGGGTTGATTCTGGCCTCATTGAACTACCAGAAGATAGAAATCCATTTGTTTGACATGCAAATGCATTATTTGGTATATCTTCATCTCTTCGGAGCAAATCTATGCTGTTTTCCGTACTATTTAAAAGCAAAGGAGGACCTGAGCAAACTGCCTTTTCACAGTTTATACTTGTATTCTGAGTTTCTGCCTTCCCTGTTGGTTCTCTGATTAGTTCCGGTGTTTTAGAAGATAAATTACCATCCAGATTTAAAATCTCTGGGTTTTCAGCTTTAGGTTTATACTCAATCTTTTCAGAATGCTTTTCACTCTCCCTGCCTTGCCACTGATTGGATGTCAGTTTTTGTTTGGCTGAGTTAATAACTTCATCAATTATTTCTCTTGCTTTTAATGCCAGTGCACTATGTAGGTCAATTTTAGCAGGGATGTAAGATGGTATCATTTCATCTTGATTATTTGTATCATGCATTTCATTTCCTGTAAATGAAAATGAGCCTCCTCCACTGCTCTCATTAAAATGTTTTAACGAATGCTGACTGGATGTTTTAACAGCTGACTGGATTTCTTCTGCTTCCAGCTGCACAGTTTTCTGATCATTTAGAATATCTGTATTTACTAAACTATCCTTTCGCCCACAGACTTGACAGACACCAACGGCTTGTTTTGCTATTATTTCCTCTATAGCCAAGTGTAAAACCGAGTCCACTATTTCCTCAGCTTTCTTAAACAGAAGAGCAGCATCTTGCAAGTTAGTGCAGTCTTGTCCCACCCTGTTAGTATTCTTCCATATTTTTGCAAAATTGAGATCATTTGATTCTGTAGCTGCAGCAGCTGTTTGTTCACCTGTTTCAGAGCAAGCTTCTGAGATACTAAAAGTCTGGTTACAAAGATTCATCTCTTGCACAGCATTTTTGCACACCTCAGTACACTCTGAATTGGATGCCCTTTTCAAGGGACAGACAGGTGACAGCACTGCCTCTGCCAAGACATTGTCATCAGCCTGCTGTGCAGAGGACAGATCTTCTGCCTCAACACCAACTCTGTGACCAGAGGAGCTACAGTCCTCTTGTGCAATGCCTGATGTTTCCAAGGCAGAAATAGAAAGCTTTGAGCCTTCTTTGGATTCCTGAGTAGGTGAAGGGGACCTGGGGATGCAAAAATCCTGCACCTTTACTTCAGAAGTAAAATGATGGAGCACAGCTGGGGTCAACTCGGGTTCCAGAGAAATGGATGGGCATGAAGCTCTCAGGTCTTCTGAGCAAAATGGTGTCTCAGTCATTCCGTCCTCAGGGACTATTCTCCTAGACTCTGCAGTCACAAAAACCTGACCACTTTCAGAGTAAGTGGCAGGAGAAGGCACTTTTCCTTGGTTGTCAGATGAAGAATAAAGTACTGTGGATGACATCCCATACTTATTATTGCTTTCAACTTCGGAAGAAATATCAATATGTCTATTTTCACAGCTAGGTGGAGGTGCAGAAACAATGTCTACATCTACGTCTTTTTGAGAGATGACAGAGAAATGGTCAGGCAAAGGTTTACCTTCACATCTCAGGGCAGAACCAGAAACCCCCAGATTTTTTTCTTGTGATTTAGAAATGTGAGAGGAAAGTTCAGAAATACAATTCTTAGATTCAAAAGGAGCAAGAGCCATCTCATTCATGTCAGCCTCATTGATTTTAGAAGCAGCAGGTGTAGTATCATCTGTCCTTCCAGTGCTGACAAGAGGGCAAGGTGCGGGCTTTGATGTGTTATCTTCTGCAAGCGTAACTAATGATTTTTCAGTAACGTCTTGCACAGTTTTATGGAAAACTGTACCATGGGTAGGAGTGGAATTTTCTGAGAGGCTCATATCTACAGTCTCAGAAGATTTGCTCTTTTCACATTCAAGATCAGGAGTAGAAACACTGTCTCTTTTATCTTTTGAACCAACTCCTCTTTTTACTATAGTTTTATTTACTGATATGCAATCAGGATGAAGAGAAGCTGAGTAACAGTCCCCTGTTTCAAATGAAGACTCAAAACTAACAGAGAGAGATTCTGTCAGCTGATCTAAGTTAGATTTCACATTTTCACATCCATGTGTACATGATACAGCAGAATTTTCCACTGCAACCTCTGACAAAACCTTCTTTTTTTCCAGACAAGATAAACGCTGTGGTGCGGCAGTATCTTTAGAGTTTTCCACGAGGCTTAATTGATGCTCATTTTGTACATGCACTGGTTTCCCTAACTCATTTAGTTCTTCATTACAAGTCACCTGGTCCACCATTGGGCCTTTATCATTTTTTAGGATTAATTCTGAAGCAGTCAGATTACCTGTGACTATGCACTCTTCTCCTCTGGAGTCCATGCTAAGCGAGGTGCATGTCTGCTCGTCAAATGGCAAAAGAACAGTAGCAAGAAAATTCTGTGGATTTTGCTCTCTTTCTGTCGTTGCCACAATTTTCTGTGCATCACTTTTTCTTGGATCACTATTTTTATTTGCACTGCCTGTGTGCTCACCTGCTTGCTGCTGGAATGTAGTACTGGAATGATTTGTCTGTACATTTGATGTTAGCTCTGAGTGGTTATTTATTTGATGATTACAGCAATATTCTCCCTTGCTCAACTGGAGTTCTTTGTTAACTTTGTCATCCTGCATTTTTTCTGCAGACTGCTGATAGGAGTGATCACTACAGTGAATTTCTTTTTCACAGTTAGAAATGGCATTTTTGTCCTTCTGAAATGGAGCTTCTGTTTCTCCCACCAGTACACATTCTTTTCCAAACAAACTGTCCACAGCACTAAGGGCATGGGTAATCTGATGAGTAGAATTTATTGTGATCTCACTGCTTCTACTAGATGACAATAATGAATCTTGTGAATATGTCCTCTTAACTTTGTTTGCTTCTAAAGCTGGTGTATGTTTTAAGTCTACTCCGCTAGATGATTCAGTAGGTGAAGCTGAGGCATTTGGCATTATTTTATGTTCATTGCTACCCAAGTAATGTTGAACTTTACCAGACTTTTTCAATTCCATTTTTACTGTAGAAGAATTTACTATGACATCATCTTCATGATCTTTATCCTCATCTTCTCCATTTTCCTTTGTTAAGGGTTCTGATTTTGGAGAGACAACTGTTTGGATTTCTCCATTTTCTTTGATCACTGAAGCATTTCTGTTCTCAGTACTTTCTTCCCCTTTTTCAGTCATTTCTGACTGACTTTTCAGTAGCTGCCTAATCCTTGCAGAACCTCGATATGTTGCATAAGTGACTGCAGGTGCTTGTGGTTTTCGTTGTATCTGCCTGCAACATAAAGCATTACTATCAGCATAAGATAGAACATGTAAATAGTTATTGTGATTATAAAAAAAGTTGACACAAACTGTAAGTGACATACATCACCATTTTCATTCAAAGGCTAAGAGAAACTGTAGACTGCACACAACACTACCTTCCTCCTTTTTCTTCTTCTCTTAAACATGGATTTCTGTGACAAATGATACATGCCATCTTTTACCATAAAAAAATCAAGCTATGAAGAAGAACTAGATGTTGCTATAAACAACATCCATCATCTGTGTTCTACTGAATAATGGATTTTTTTATTTAGAAAAGCCACTATAAGTCAACATTTGTAATGACATAAAGAAGCATACTTTTGCAAAGATGTTATACCCCACTAAAGCAGGCCTGTACTTAAATACTGATTACTTATTACTACAGAGTAATTAGGAAAGAAAGTAAAAGCAGATCAGGTAAGAATGAGAATTGCCTAAATGCTAGAAGAAATAGCAACATGAGAAGCCTAGGAACATGACAAGAAATTGGTAGATCCAGCCCTCTATCAGCTTCATGTTTAATAGCAACCAAACAACTCCTCTGCCTTGCCCTGCTCCCCCTAGAAGAGCAAACAAGCAAAACCCAAAAACCCCCAATGCAAAAACTGACAAGAAGAATCACCATGGAAAAAATGTGATCCTGATCTTTCCCTGCCCTCTCTGATATTCTAAGGATAAATTCAGAGCCTGTCACTATCAATTTTCTGAAGAAGCTTCTGAATAATGGTCTGAAGAACATTCTTTTTCTTTCTTAAAATTAGCCAACATAAATGCTCACCTTCCTAATGCTTCTTTCTCCTCCTTTTCTGTTGTTTAAAGAATTTTTGCAAAAGTAGGACAGTGATTATACATATGTGAACATTAACTCTTCCTGTTAGAACAAAGCAGACACTCAAACTGCGCTTGAATTCTATTTTGCCATAGCTCCCACCTAAACTAAGAACAAAATTTTTAAAATACTCATCCAGCCTGAAACCTGTATCTGCTTAGACTCTGGCTGGAAATGGCAGCTAACCTTCCTAGGAAACTGTCACACTCTTCAGAAGAGTCTCTTGAATAAAAGAGCTTGCTAAGACTTTGATTTCTAATGCGAAAACATTGCAATAGTCAAAAGGTTTTGAGTCTCAGGCACTTATTTCTATATTAATTTTACTTTCAACTTAGCACTACTAGAATTGAAGGCAAAATCACTTTTCGTGCAGCATTTCAACATGCAAAGAGTGTGAGTAAACTAAAAGTAAACTAAATTATTTGTATGCATAAACATTAAAATAGATATATAAATGCCCATTTATATGCAAGCTTTACATGCCAGACATGTTTATGCTAATGCCAAAAATACCTGAATATGTGGATTTAGATGTGATGAGAACTGGAAAATGAAATTTCTGTTGAGGATTAAATACATTGTACTTGGTGATGAAGGCTACAGCAGAATCTCAGTATAGGGTTTACAGGAAAGTCATATATAAACACCATGTCTCCCACACATTTGCAAAGCCAAATGCATTTCATCTTCTATATACTAGCTTAGTTTCCACAGATTCCAGCAGTGGCAGCTGCTAGACATCAGGCACATCAATTAAGTTGCTATTTTCTGCACCTCTTAAAAGAAGCACATATATTTCTGCTTGTAAGAGAAAGAAAAACACAGTTGAAGAAGGAGTAGTAGGGGAAAAAAAAGATTTAAGACTTTTCTGTTTCCTTAAAAAAAAAACAAAACAAAACAAAACACAACATTATTTTCCACATTCTCATATTAGAAAAATATTTTCCAAAGCTCTAGATGTCCTAAAAATCTCAGGGGAAGTAACTGCTGAGCTCTATAGTGCACCCTATTTACTCAGCACAAGCCATAATAAAAACGAGTCTGAAGAACGCGTAAGAACTGATCATGTCACAAAGAATTAACCTCACTGGCTATCCTGTCCCATCGCAGTTAAGACACAAAGAAGTAAAAATGTCTTAAATAATCACTGGTAAGCTTTTAAAAAAATCCAACCATCAGTTCTACCATACTTTGGTCCATCTCAGATATAAAAGTCAGTCCACAACAGTCCTGAAACCAGACATTTCTTTTAAGAAAACAGAATGAGGCTTACACCAATTTGCTAAACAAATTCTACCAATTCTTCAAGGAGAAAACTGTAAAATGTCTTTAAAGCGAGCTTGTTCAATGGTATTGCAAGGTACTGAATGCTCATTTCCGCCACAAATGAAGCACTATTTTGAATTAACTGATCAATGCCAATTAACTTCTACTGCGTGTCTTTTACTCTGTAGCTGCTTTTTTTCCTAATACATACTGGGATGAATTCAGAATTTATCTATAAACGTGGTAATAACTAGTGCTCTGACACAAACGTAGAAAATATCTATTTGTTCTCCCCATCCAACTTTGCCTTCAAATTTCAGCCATGAGCTCAGCAAGTGTTAAACTGAAAGCATCCAGAAACTGGATAAACAGCTTAATTTTAGACAAGACAAAGACAAGACAAGATTGACAAAATGAGAACCCAGCATGGAGAGGTACTACATTTATAGTGACTCAAACTACAGATCCCAGATAGGACTTCCACCATTTACTACACATGGTCAGGCAAAATAAGCACACTTCCTTCTTGCCTATCACATGCCTCTTATCATTTCTCCTAACTTTGTTTCCTTTTGTCTTCTGAGGGAATTTTGCACTCTGATTCAATGATCTGTAGTAAAAATCTGAGCAAGATTCAGAGCAACATGACATAGAGAGCTCTGTGCACAAACCCAATTGTGACCAGCAGCAACAACACCATTTCATCCCATGCAGCCTCATCCTGTGGCTGGCCTCTGCCAGCATCTCCTAATTTACAGCTATGCTTTCCTGCATACTTGTCTCTTCCAAAAGCTTCTGCACTGCACGCTATTTTAAACAGGAACTAACCTCTTGGCAACTTTGGGATCTCTGACCTTTGATCAAGGATTTGATTGTCAGTGTACTGTAACAATTTTGTCAATGGACCTTTTATTCCTACCAGGTTCATTTTTAGAGCAAGTAGAAGTGTTTGCAATCCAACTGTTCCCATGCAACAAGGCGTTTAAAAAATGAAAACCCATGCTCCCCTGTGGTAGTTGCAACTCAGATGGCTTACTCTAAATCTTGCTTTAAGTCTTATGAAACACATTAAGAAGCAGGCTCTGTCATGCAAAATCTTTTAAAAATGTCACTAGAGACTTGTTTCACAGACATTTAAAGTAACAATTCATTTCTGATTGTCAGGAGAGTATGTCAGTTCAGAACTCACCTTAAAAACTCTTTGCAATTTTTTTTTCAAATTCATATGAGGATAACAGATGAAAGCCTGATTACACAGAGAACCTAATGTGTAATTCTGTCACACATTTCAAATGCTGGGAGATTCCTTCTTTTTCTTCTGTACATAAAGCTATTCAGTTCCCTATAATGCCTATTTCGCAAAAGACTGTTTGACAGCAACAAGAGAACGTGTCAACATGAGTTACGTTAAATTTGTCAAAAATAGGTGCTCGTAGAGATATTTCTATTCTGGAAGAGAAACAAAAAGTTCAAAGGGGGCTAACTCAAGAAAGGGAGGGGTACATCTTCTGACACATCTCGTATGATAGACAGTTTGTGTAACTTCCTCCAGAAGCAGCATTAGTTATAAAACAAGCTTGTTATCTTTAAAGCCTGGAAGCAGGAGGAATCTGATTACCCTGAATGCCTCATCTCAGTGCATCCATTAAGACTACATTTTTCCACTATTTTTTTTTCCTTAAGTGTACGTCATCAAGTTGGTGACCTCACATATTCATACTTGTAACACAACAGAAAGCAGGTACATTCAGATTATTTTCAAAAAGCACCAGGGAGATCATGCATATGATATAGCTCTATATGGATACAGCACCTCAAATCCCCAGGCAGCACAGATTCGTTTGCACTTTGTGGCATCTGTGCTAGAAAACCCATGCACAACTAAGCCCAACGACCAGCTCAGTTCAAGCAGACCAGGAGTGTTCAAGTGCAAGTGTACTGCTGGGTGGCCTGTTTCTGCAGCACATACTCTTGGCTCTCTCCCAAGACATGCAACAGCCTTTTTTTCCCCCTCCATGCCTCACTCTTCCAGATACGTCCCCTCCAGTCCAGCTGTCTCCTACCTTTTCAAAGCTTAAACGGATGTGTTTTCCCTAATGTCCTTTCACAGACCACCTCAGAAGCTCCCACACCAGAAAGGTCTTCCGGCTATAGGCTGAAAACCACTGCTCTACATCAGTATGCCTCCTGTGGTTCCCATCTACTCCTCCCTAATTGTAAAATAATTATGCCATTGTTTATTTTAATTTTTTCCACTTTTTTTTTTTTTTTTTAACTGCTTACTTAAACTGGCAACTCTTTAAAAATTTTGTTAAGGTCTTCTGTCTGGAAACAATTATCTCAAAGGCGCTCTGAAAAACCTTCTGTTGACTCCAAACTATTCAACTAGCTGGTTTCTACAGTCATGTCAGACCTTCAGAAATGGAAAAAATAAATGCCTTACTGAAAAAAAAGTCACTGAGAACTAACTGAAAATTTGCCATATACAAGTTAGATCAATGAACATTATTTTTTAACTGGAGGCTATAGCTTCATGATTTAAATCTTAAGTTTAAAATACCCAGTGTCCTGAGACTTCACATTTGTATATTCCAAAAGGTCAAATGTTTGATTTAAACAAAGTCATCTGCACACAGTTGATTTTGCAGGAAATTTCACAGCTAATGTTCCATAAGGACAATTAAGAGTCAAAGACAATCTTAGTAAAAACAAATGCTGTCTCTGTGACCTTGGAAGGAATGTTTTCTCTTTCCCTGTTTTTTCATGGTACTGTATCTTGATTATCTTCCACATCTGGGAAAGTAACTATATTCTGCAGCCTGAAGATAGAAAGGACAGATCAAGGCTTACCCACTGTCAGCAGCTGCAAA